TGCAAATGTAGGGTGAGTGAGTAGCCTTGGTCCCCCATTTGGAGTTAGTTAACTGTTTGAAACTAGATCCAAGACTTCCTCTCGCTGAGATCCCTGGTATGCAAAGCCGGCCCCTGGAGGAAGTGCATCAATTTACAGAAGGAGCCCAGAGCCTCTGGGAGGGAAGAAAATATCCAGCTGGTACTTCCTGAGATATAAAGGGAAGGAGATCTGTTGGCGTGGAGCAGGGTGGCCACAATAAAGGCCTTGGGCCAGGGGCTGAAATGAAATTTGAAATTATTTTGAGGAAAACAGGAGTTTAGGGTGGTAACAGGTTTCCAGCAAGGGCCGGCCTGTGTTTCCTGGGGCAAGGCTGACTTTAGCATGGAGTGAGGCGACTGTGCCAGTTCTGGAGACTCCGCCATGCTGAGACTGTCCCTGTACTCTCAGCTGGGACTGTGGTGATTTATCCACAGGAATGTCACCTAGAGATGAGTCCAAGTGGGGACCCCCCAGGCTCCCCTTGACTTTGAGGAATGGTGCTGTTTTCTAGCCTGGGCTGGACCCTGTGAGGTGTCCAAGTGTCCTCAACAGTGACGTGGCAGTGCTGTGCAGACCCCAACCCCTATTTTGTTTTTAAACAATTCAAGCAGAAGGTGAAGTTCTCTCAAGGGAGGGACTGGATATGTCATGTAAATTGTTGCTTGGTTAATAGAAAAAATTATTATTATTTTTTTCCCCCCAAAGCCCCAGTAGATAGTTGTATGTCATAGCTGCACATCCTTCTAGTTGCTGCATGTGGGACGCTGCCGCAGCATGGCCGGAGAAGCGGTGTGTCAGTGCGCGCCCGAGATCCGAACCCGGGCCGCCAGCAGTGGAGCACACGCACTTAACCGCTAAGCCACGGGGCCGGCCCTAATAGAAAAAATTAAAAGTGGATTGAGGCCACCCTTATGCTCTGTGCTCAGGGGACAGTTCAGACAGCTGCATTCACAGTGACCAGAGAGGCCAGTACCTGCCCAACACCAGCGACATGTGTGCAGGGCCTCCAGCAGGTACTGGGAGCTTGCTGTCTTTCGGAGCTCATGCCACCTGGGATGGATGTAGGAGGCAGGATGAGGGGAGATGGGACCTAGAGTTTATTCTTAGAAGAAGCCTGCATGGGATCATCCATCCTGCTTGCCAAGTGCTTGTTGGGGCAGATGTAGGAGGCCTGAGGGTCAGCCTGGGAAGTGACTTGAGGAGGCCTCTTGTGGCACCTTCCCCGCTGTCCTAGCCAGAGACCAGAGGAACCTCTCACCCACTCCTGGATGTTCTCTCTACCAATTTTGCATCCTAAATAGCTCCCAATTTTCTTACTCTCCACTGTCCCCATCCTGGTCCAAGCCACCATCATCTCTCCCTGCAGAGGCCACCTGACCTGTTTCCCCTCATTCGTTCTTGTCCCCCACAACCTTTTCCCTCAGAGCAGGAGGTGAGATCTTTCTAAAGTACAAACCCAGTTATGAACCGTGCCCCTCCCCCCAAGTAATAAAAAGTATATACAACAATAAACCTCTTCAACAGCCCCACAGTGTGTCAGGGTCACATCCAGACTCCTTTCCTGGGCCTCACCAGGCTGGACTCCCCCTCACTTTCTGGGTCCAGCCGTGTGGGCCAACTTTCCCTTATGGAATGGGCCACGTGTCTTCCACCTCAGGACCTTCATATCTGCTCTTCTCTCTGCCTGGAAACACCCACCTCAGGTCAACAAAAATGCCGTTTCTTCAACGGAGATCTTCCCTGATCCTGGATATTCTTTTATTTTTTTTTTGTTGTTGAGGAAGATTAGCCCTGAGTTAACATCCGATGCCAATCCTCCTCTTTTTTGCTGAAGAAGATTGGCCTTGGGCTAACATCTGTGCCAACTTTTGTCTACTTTATATGGGACGCCGCCACAGCATGGCTTGACAAGCTGTGTGTTGGTGTGCACCTGGGATCTGAACCTGCGAACCTGGGGCCACCGAAGCGGAGTGCGCGAACTTAACCGCTACGCCACAGGGCCGGCCCCCTGGATATTCTTACTTATTGCACTTGGTACTTTTCCCCCACAGTTTTGTAACTATAAACAGACCTTGTCTGTGGATTTTGATGTTAATATCTGTCTCCCCAACTTGACTGTAAGTTACATGAGGGCAGGGGCTTTGTCTGTTTTTGCTTATTATTATAGCTCCAGAATCCATAGGATGCTCAATACATGTTTGCTAAAGGAAGAATGGATAGATGCCTCAGTTTCCCCAGCTGGTCCCACGTGTAGGCTCACGTTACTTAGTGGGAGGGAGTGAGGAAGGGGACCCCTGTGGCTCTGGGAGCTACTGCCACTCACTCCTGGGATGTACCATTGGTGTCAGCCCTGTTGGCTGGGCTTTGGCCCCACTGCTCAGCATTCATTTATCCTGCAAGTATCATAGTCTCCACAGGAAAAAGAGAGGGTGGCTGGGTCATGTGGCAGGTAGGGCTGGCAGGGGGCAGCAGACGCATGGCTTCCTAGTGGGTTTATCCTTGGGGCTGGGTGGTCTTCAGCTGGGGCCTAGGAGCAGAGAAATCGGCTTGGGGGGCTCTGTGGCTGGTGCCCGGCAGCAGGTGGGTGGTGAGGGCAGCACCGAGGTAGTGGCTTGCCTTGGGGAGAGGAGGGCATGGGCTGCCAGGGTGCCAAGGGAACCTTAGCGGGGGCTTTAGGCTGGGCAGGCTGGGTGGGGCTGGCCACAATCGAGGAGGTAACAATGAGTGTGAAGAGCATGCTTAGTGGAAGAGAAGGACGGGGAGCGTGGAATGACCAGAGCTTCATCTCCCTCCCTGACCTTTCCATGCTCCTTGCCTCTGATCTCCCTCACCCCTCCTGCACTCTGGCCCCCCAGTGTCTCCTATTCTCCCTGCTCTGGGCTTCTAGAACCCCCAGGCCTCCAGCCCCTATAACCCTCTCAGCTCTCACAACCTCCCAGTCCCTCACCACCCCTGGCCCATCCTGCCAGCGGCCTGGGCCCTGCTGGCCTGCCCTTCTCTCATCATCTCTTTCTCACTCCCTGTGGCACCCTGGTGCCAGCCCCAGATCTGTGTGGACTGACTTCCCAACACTCCTGTCCTCCTCCCCGCCCCACTGCCCCCGGGGAAGGGGATCCCTTGGGCACCCAGCTTTCCTAAAGGTCAGGTGGGGTGAGGGTGGGGCTGATGGAGGGCCTGGCCCACCCTGAGCTGTGGAGCTGAGCTAGGGAGAGGGCGTGAGGGAGGAGTAGGGAGACCAGAGCATGCTGAGCCACTGTGGGGCAGGAGATGGGGTCCCTGCAAGACCACACTACTTTCCCCAGCTTCCCAGGTTCCACTGGTCTTGCCTGGTGTCATCTGTCCTTCCCAACTCTTCCTCAGTCTCTTCTGTCTCCCCTGGTCCTTCTGGTTTCTCAGGGTCCCTCTCATTGGTGACTGAGGAGCTGCGCCCTAGGCCATCCTGTGGGCCAGGAGTTGCGGGGGAGCCTTCTGCTGCTGTTGTATGTGTAACTAGTGTCCCAGGGGTGGGTGGCTGTAAGGGGGTGCCCCTGGGTGGAAGAAGACCTGTAAGGGTGTGTCAGTAAACAGAACAATTCAAGAAATCAGTGGATGTTACTGTAGAAGGGATTTAGAGATTGTCCCCAACCATTTACAGGTGGAAACACAGGGCTCTGAAGAGGGAAATGATATTGACAGGAACAAGTCACATAGGGGTTAGTAATAATAATTGTCATCATCAAACTGGACATTTATTAAGTGCTTACTTCTTATGTACCAGAGATTATTGTAAATTTTCTACATGTCTTAATTGACACAACCCTCACACTACCCTAGGAGGTGAGTATTGCTATGCCCATTTTACAGATGAGGAAACAGAGACTAGTGCAGTGAGATCAGTTTCTTTAGATCATACAGCAAGCCCATGGCAGAGCAATGGAATGTTTTCACACTGAATAGAGAGTCTTACTCCTTCAAATGATGATGTGAGTATATAAAGCATTTGTTTAGAGCTCCTGAAAAACAGTAGCAGACATTTCACCAAGGAAGATATAAGAATGGCCAATAAGCACATGAAAAGATGCTCAACATCCTTAGTCATGAGGGAAATGCAAATTAAAATTATGGGGTATGCCTACTCGAATGGCTAAAATTAAAGGAAAAATAAAAAGTTTGACAATATCAACTGTTGGCCTGGATATGGAGCAACTGGAACTCTCATTGCTGGTGGGAGTGAAAAACCAACAACCACTTTGGAAAACATTTGACAACTTCGTATAAAGTTAAACATACACTAATCATATGATTCTGAAATTCAATTCCTAGGTATTTACCCAAGAGGAACAACACATGTTGACACAAACACCTGAACACAAATGTTCATAGCAGCTTTATTCATGATAGCAAAATTTGTAAACAACCCAAATGTCCATCTACTATTGAATGGAAAACAAACTATGGTGCATCCATATAATGGAGTACCACTCAGCAACGACAAGGGAAAAACCAACACATGCAGCAGCATGGATGAGTCTCAAATGCATTATGCTGAGTGACAGCAGCCAAATACAAAAGGCTGCATACAATATTATTCCATTTAAAGAAACTCTCCAGAAAAAGCAAATCTATAGGAATAGAAACAGCCCAGTGGTTGCCAGGAGCTAGGGTCGGGGAAGGGATTGACTACAAAGGAGCACGAGGGAATTTCTAGGCATGATGGAAATGTTTAGTGTCTTGATTTTGGTGGTGGCTATCCCGCTTATAATAAAATCTGTCAAAACTCATCAAACCATGCATTTAAAAGGGGTGAATTTTATTGTATGTGAATTATACCTCACTGAACTCGATTTAAGTATAGAAACAGTGGGCTGGAGAGGGTAGGAAATTGGATGGCCATGGTTGACTCACTGAAAAGGTGACATTTGAGAAGACTTGAAAGAGGGAGGGGAGCCTTGCCACTCTCTGGAGGAAGAGTGTGTCAGGCTGAGGGAACAGCCATGGACGTCCTAAGGTGAGGTGTGCTCAGCCTGGGCAGGAACCAGCAAGGAGCCGGTGTGACTGAAATGGAGTAAGAGACGAGGTTGTGGAGGGGCTCAGACAGGCACTGGGGACTGGGGCAGATCATGGGGGCCACATAGGGCTCAGGCTGTTCTCCAAGTGCGATGGGGCCACTGGGGCGTTCTGAGAAGAGCAGTGGCATGCTCTGACTTCCGTTTTAACAGACCCCGCTGGCTTCTGAGTTGAGAGCAGTCTAGGGCAGGACCAGTTAGGAGGCTTTTGCAAGAATCCAGGCAAGAGATGATGCTGGCTCAAACCAGCATGGTGGCAGTGGAGGTGTTGAGAAGTGGTTGGACTTGGGATATATTTTGAAGGCAGAGCCAACAGGATTTCCTGCCAGATTGGATGTGGGGTGAGAGAGAGAGAGAGAGAGAGGAGGCAGGGGTGATGCCAAGGTTTTTGGACTGAGCAGCTGGAAATTCAGCTGGGCACCCCCTGTGGGGGCTGTTGACGGTTTTAACCGTCCGCTGAGGCCTGTGGCCGAAGTCAAGACAGAGACAGAAGGGAGGGGCTCAGCCCTGCTTCTGGCTCGGGCTCAGGAGATGGGCTGTACATGCTGGCTATTCCATTACCCTTTATTTATTGGCCTTATTGGCTTTTGTCATTTCCTCATTGTCTCCTGTCTGGAGAGAAGACTATAAATGTGATGGATTGATACAGGATACAGGAGGCCCAATGATCTCTGTTGAGCGGGCCTCGCTTCTTCGGCAAGCCCTCCCCGCCCTCTACTGTCCTTGTAGCTCCTCCCACAGACTTGCATGCAGAAGCAGCCTGGTCCCTGGCCTTCCAGGAAGAGGGGGTGCAGCCTGAGAGGGTGAGTGGCAGACAGATGGTTCCCCAGGAGACATGGCTCCAAGGACAAGTAGTGGAGGCAAACTTAGCTGCCTGGCCAGTCACACCTTAAATCCTAGCACCGGGTCCCCGAGGATCTGCCCACAGAGGCCGGGCACGGAGTGGGGTGGGAGGACAGGACATGCCGCCTGCTGGTCAGCCCACATCCGGGGAGGGGGGTTGTGCTTTGACTTGCACGCCTTTCTGGAATCTGAGCTGGCCCGTCTCTCCACAAGCTGGGATGATGGGGCTTTTCTCTCCAGCAGCAGGTGCCTGGCAGGTGCCCAGGGATGCCGGCCCCTTGAGCTGGCATGAGAGGAAGTGCTTGTCAGGGTGGTCATTACACGTGCTGGGCTCAGTCTGGACCAGCCTCCACTCCTGCAGTTCAGGCTAACTTGGGACACCCGAAAGAGAGTGGTGCCCCTGGCAAGGCCCCCAGAGTCCCTTTGGGATCCCCCCAGACAGAGCTTGGCAGCTGCCAGCCTTTGAGCGTTATTTCTGAATGAAGTCCCTTGGCCACTCACTCTGGCCTGTCTGCCTGCCTGCCTTTATCCCTGGGAATGTCCTGAGGCCCCTGGTCCAAGGGGGGTTGGGACAGGAAGCCTGAAGTTCATTCCTGGGATTTCAGGCGTCGCCCTATGGTCACGCCGCTCCCCCTCCCCGACACGGACCCTGATTACTGTGCCTTGAGCATCACGTGTGTGAATCCGCATGTGTCTCTCCATGTAGGTGAGACTCTCAGATGGCCCTGTGTCTGACCTCCTTCCAGGAGAACGAAGAGTGGAAGTTGGGACCGCTGGTGGGAAAGGGGGCAGGGGACCTTAGAGGACAGGAGGGATTCAAATGGAGGAGAGGATCCAGGTGAATTCAGCAGACAGTGAACTGCTGGATTGATTGGGTTGTCTTTTCTGCAAACATTGCCTGGCTCCTAATCTGTGCCAGGTATGGCGGTGGGGGCTGGAGAATGTGATGTGAACAGACCGGGCTGGCCTGGCTTTACCCAGCTCTCAGACTCGTGGATAGCCACACAGTGCAGTGTGCTCAGAACCCGGGAGGGTGTACAGGCGCTGCACCAGTGTGGATGCCCTGACAAGCAGCCTGGGGGCAGGAGACACTGGTCCTGTCGCTTGGCTGAGCTCATGAGCCGCTGCCTTTGGCGTTTCCTCACTCTCAGTTGCTGCCTGTTCAGTCTCCGCCTGTGGGAGTGCCTGTACTGTCTCCCCTGTCCCTCCCAACCTCTGCGCACCAAGTCTCGTGGCTGTCAGGGCTGAGGGTGGAGGAGCTGCTGGCACGGGTGCAGGGGAGCTGCCAATGCTGTGGCCCCAGGGTGAGAGCTGATGTCTGTCCAGGAGCATCTCTCTCCTTGCCAAGGGTTGAGATCCCTGGGCCGCATGCCTTCCCTCTGACACAGGAGCCGGCATCCGTCCCTCACAGAGCCGCCCGCTGCCTGGACCCCAGCCTCACCCCAGAGTGGCCTGATGACAGCTGTGGCATTGCAGCGAGCACAAGGACCCACTCGTGTCTCCCTCCAGATCCCAGGCCACGTGAAGGCCCACCTCAGGCAGCCAGGGAAGACCCCACACAACGGGCCCAAGAACCCCACACTCCAAGCCTTGGCTGCGAGAACAATGGGGAAGCCGCCACACTGGCCCAGACCTAGCAGCAGTGCCCTGGAGCTGGTGAGAGAGGAGGCCTGACCCCATCACAGCTTGTGGTGGGTGTCACAGCCTCCCTCCCACCTCCCCTCATGCGCTACACAGTTATTCAGTCACTGCCATATACCAGCTCCTGGGCTAGGTCCCGGCTGCAGTGGTGAGTAAAACAGACACAGACCCTGTCCTCATGTTGCTTTCACTCTTTTCACTGGAATTTCTAGTAAGAAACATATTTTCCTCACTACCCAGAGTACATATAGGCACTCACCCAAGATTTATATGTATATCTGAAACAATAGTTTCACAAAACAACACTCATCCTTACCACTGCTATTTTAAATTCTGATACTATTTTTTAAAAGGCTGGTTGTGGCCCACTACACTGGGAAATGGCCTGCCCTTTGAAAAGCCCTGGTCTAGTTGGGGAAAGATGATTAAACAAATGTCACAGAAGGTTAGCATGGACTGTCCCTGCTCCGGTCTTGACCAAGGGACCAATACCAAGGGTTGGAGGATACCAAGCCATGTGTCTCTCATATGCAGATAGCTTACAAGGGAAATGTGGACACCGAGACCTGCAATCACATCAAGGCTATAAAAAGGGGTGCAAGAGAGTGGAGGGCTGAGGGAGACTGTGAGCAGGTTTCTTTGGAGAGAACTGTGTGTGTTGTTTCCAGGACCTGTGGCCTTCCCTTGGGAAGGGCCTGTGTGTGGGGGATGCCACCTTCTAACCCAGGCCTGTTGAGGGGGCTTCCAGGGCCTTCTTCGAGAGCTTTGACATGTTGGAGGCTCAAGTGGATGGGTGATGGGGCCTGACTCTCCTGCCCTGAGACCTGGACGGAGGGTGGTGGGCCAGCTGCTCTAGTGGTGGCTGTGGAGCGCGCTGCTGCCATGGCATGGCTGCACCCAGAGTGGGTGGGGCAAGTGCTCTGAGTGCTTCTTGAGGACCAGAGGTGGCAGGCAGGGAGAGAGGGCTGGTGTGTGCCACCACAACAGAGCCACCTGGAGGGTTGAGGGGCTTGGCAGGAAGTGGCTGGGGTGGGACCCATGGGCGCCCACAGGCAAAGGAAGGGATTGCAGGGACACCCAGAAGAGAGTGCATCTCCTGAGCTGAGGAAACTGCAGGGAAAAGGTCCAGCAGGGAGTCTCCAAAAGCCCACAGATGATAAGCAGACGAGAGTCCCCGCTAGTCACCTGCCTGGTGCGAGGAGGAGCCACACAGCCACGCCATTTCCGACTGTTCTAGGGACTGGACACTCTCAGGACGAGGCTGAGACTATATTTACAATGTAAAGGGGCTGTAGGCTGCAGTTTTACCCAAGACGGAATGGAAAAGCCACAGGATCAGCCTGGTTTTCATCCAGGGCCAGGGAAGATTATCTCCACTGAATAAAGCTGCAAGGGACAGGGAGAGACAAAAATAAAGGTTGGATTCGATGACATTGGGCGTCATGTTTGTTCACATACCAGCTTTGCGGGTATTTGCAATGAGGAGTGTTGTTAAGTGCCGTGACAAGAGAAGTACCAAGAGTGGGGACAAGTGACGGGGAAGGGGGTTGGGTGGTGGTCAGGGAGGGCTCCCAGAGGAGGTGACATTAAGATGAGGCTGAAGGCTGAGTGGAAAGGAGAATAGCGTTCTGGGTGATGAGAACAGGAGTTGGCAAGGCTGAAAGGAGAAAGAGCCTGGGGCCTTCCAGGGGTTACGGAGAGATGTGGTTACAGAGGTTGTCAGGGCTGGAGGCCCTGGGAGGGGTTTGCCTTGATCCTGAGATGACAGGAAGCCGTTGAAGGGTTTTATCCAGAGGCAGTGATCTTGGATTACAATACTCTGGTAGCCAAGTAGTTTGGAATGGATGAGGTTAGAGGAAGGGAAGCCAATGAGGAGCTGCCCGGGCGGTTTCCACGAGGCAAGGTGCTGGCCTCAACCAAGGAAGCAGCAGCAAGATGGAACTAAGTCATGGGGTTTGAAAGATGCTGAGAGGGTAGCGCCAACAGGGTATGGACTGGGGCTGTGGGAGAGGGAAAGCCTGAAGATGGCATCTGTGGGGGTACCTTCACCAATAGGCTTGGGGGCATGACAGATGAGCTCAGTGTTGGGTGGGTTGGGCTTGAAAGCTTTGGCGATGTCCTGAGGAGGCAGCTCGATGTGCTGGCCTGGGGCTGAGAGAGGCCTGGGCTCCAGGTAAAGGCTCAAGACTCTTCTTTAGAGCATGGCAGGGAATGAGAGGGTGTTTCCCACTCTCCTCCTGGAAGAGGGCCCTGGGCCTAAAGAGCTTGATCACTCGGTCAGACACTGGAGGATGTGCCCCCGAGGGAGGCAGTCTCAGAGACTGGAGGAAGCACTGGAGAGGGTGGGGCCACAGAAGCCTGAGGAAGAGAGGATTTCCAGGAGGGGCTGCTGTCCACTGAGTTAAATGCTGTGGAGGGGACCTGCAAGATGAGAACAGAGAAAGCTCTGCTGGATCTAGCCTCTGCTGGCTGGCAGAGCACTTTTGGTGGGGTGGTGGGGCAGCAGTGAGGTGCAGTGGACTGAGGAGTGAGGGGGAGATGAGGGTGAGGAAGCCAGCATCAGGTGTCACGACACACAAGTGCCACCACCTGCCTGTTCTCCATGGCAGTTGCCCCTTCCCGCTTCCACACCCTTCCAAACCCTTCCCATCATGTGAGCCCCAAATTGCGGTCCTCCCCTCAACAGTACCCCAGACTGGGTGTCCTGGGAGGCAGGGCCCCCATGTCCTCTTCTTGGGGGCAGACTGTTCTGCCCATATCCTACTTTACCCGGACCAGCCCACACTCCCAGCCATTTTCCTGGGAAGACAACTGGAAGTCCCGCATGGTTCTCAGGATCTCATCCCGCTCCCTGCAACATCATTCTCCAGATTTGCTCAGGACGAGGCCTCCTCACAGGTTCCTTGGGCCTCTACCACAGCCCTTGTCAACTCCCAGCACAAGAACAGAGCCTAGGCCAGGTCATGTAAGCCATTTATTGGTTTGTTTTAAAAATATGTATCTTATTTATACACGAAGTTTGGTGAGAAGTGCTTGATTAGTTCAGACAACAGCTGGCACTTGATACTTGTCCCTCCCTCCTTTTTCCTACCCTCTTGTCCCTCCTGCTGGTCATTGCACAGTTCTGGGGGAAAAAAAATGAGAGCCATGCTAAAAGCTAAGTAGTCAGGTCTAGCTTGTCCTTGCCCTTGGCCACATCGTCTGCAGCCACCAGCCAGCCCTGGGCACCTGTCTCAAGGCTCCCAGGCTGTCCACACCACAAAACCACAGTCTCCTTCCGGCCAGTTGGGCTCGCAGCCTGGCCTGCCTCCCAAGCCACATTCCTGCCCGTGCAGCGGGTGCTGAGTGCCAGGGAGGGGGACACACCTCTCCAAGCCTTGAGAGCAAAGCACAGAGATCTACAAAAATAAGATTTCCACTCGGAGAAGTGTCCCAGGACAGTTAAAACCACGTCCCACACTGGACTCAAAGGGAACAAGGAGAAGAGAAATCACTGGGGGAGAGCGGGTTGAGGGCTGGGGTTGTCACCAAGGGAACTCGGGTGACAAGAAGAAACGTAATACTTTACTCGCCGGCAATGCCCCCTCAGCACTGCCACGAGCTCACGAACGTCTAGCCCTCCGACAGCTCGGCGAGGTAGGTTAGGAGCAGCCAGTTTCCAGCTTCCCGGGCTGCCCCGAGAGGTGGCCTGTGAGGTGGACGCCTGGTGGAGGGCGGCTTTGCTGGAGAGCTGGAATTGGGCAGCCGAGCCCCTGCCTGCTCAGGCTCCGCCAGCCAACGGTGTCACTCTCAGGGTGACAGTTCTCTGCATTAAAAGATTTGCATATGCTAAATAGGATTGTCAGCAGCTGAAGAGGCCCTGGGGGTAATTGGACTAGAAAAAGTATTTTCCCTGAAAAGGCCTTCTCACAAGACCCATGGGACAGCCTGGGCCCTGCCCCAGGAGGTCCTGCATGAGGGTGTCACTAGGACTCTGGGCTGAGCCGGAAGGGCTGGTCCAAGGCCACACTTCTCCATTTTCCAATGGGGCCTGTGGGTCATTCTCCTCCCATGGCATGGGAACCGGGCCAGGCCGTCCCGAGACCGCTTCCCTACACAGGGCCCAGGCTGCCCTCTACACTCCCATGCCACTGCATCTGGAGAGGGGCTGGGGACCACAGGGGAATCCCCTCCCCATATGGTCAGAGGCAGAAATGTCTGGAGAGCCCTGGAGAGACCAGGGTTCCCTCATCAGATGGCTGGGGGCCACCGTGGCTGAGGGCCGTTGACCTTCCCAGCCCCAACCCCATGGGGCTCAGCCTTCTCTTCCTGGCCTGTGGCACAGGGCCTGCCAGGTGTGGGAGCAAGGACAAGCTGGGTGCCAGTCCGTGAGTGGGGCTGGCTCCCTCACACCTTTCGTTATACGTTATATTCCTATACGTTAATACTCTGACAGAAGGTCAAGCTCTCCTGGGAGGAGAAGGCAACATCGGTGCCTAGGACCAGCCCTGGGACCCAGGCCACTCTCTTCTGGAAACTTTTCATTTTTGTAGAACCGACCCCAGTATGGCCAAAAACACAGGGGGATAATGGGACTTTGGGGACAGGGAAGGCCAGAGTGAGCTCCTGCTGACAAGAACCCCACTCGTGGGGGCCGGGAGGAAAGGCCTGGCTCCCTTAGGCTGGGGCAGAGGTGGCTGCCTGACACTCGCCTGAGAGGAGCCCAGGGTCACACGTCGCCTGTGTCTGGCCTCTGTGTGTGTGAGTGTGTGCACACGTGTGTGTGAGGAAAGGGGTTCAGCTCTCCTGGCACCTCAGGCCTAGCGGCAGGGGAACCCTTTTCTGCCCTTGGGCAGTGAAGGCCTGTGGGAGCCACAATGGATTTCACTTTTGCTTTGAGAACAGAGTTCCAGCAGCTCCACAGAGACTCTTTTCAGAGTTAAGAAGAGGCAGTGTGAATTGCTGCCGACGTCCATGGAAAAAACATTAGTTCTTTGCTCAAGTAAAAAAATATCAAATATAATAAATTTATGAAAGTCCATTCACAACATATACAGTCTCAGTTTTATATTTTGCCTCAGCAGCTGGGATGGAGTTGCTTTTCAGAGCCCCAGGGCGTTGCCTGACCAGACCAGGCCACTGGGGACAGGCTACTCTGAATGATCGGCTCCGCCAACTGCTTCCGGCCGTCAGCATGGGTGCCACAGAACTTTGCCTTGTCGATCCACGGGGCTGAGGCTCATCTCTCACTCCCGAAGCCCAAAGCGAGGAAGACCCAGCAGATGCTGGTTTGTGGCTGCATTCAGGTTTGCCATGATGCAACAGCCTGCCTTTCCGTGCGTCCTGGCCAGTGGGAGTGAGGCTCACACGACAGACTCACGGTCTCTGTCTGGGGATGGGGGAAAGTCTGCAAGATCTTCGCTGTGGCTGTAGTCAGAGGCCCGCACCTGGAGGTTATCGCTGGTGGCCCGGGTGACGCTATCATAGGAGGGTGGGAAGGATGTGGAGGAGATGGAGGAGCTGGAGGGTGGGCCACGGCGCCGGGAGAAGTTCTCATTCATCATGTAGGCAATGAGGCCCTCTTGCTCAGGGGCATCTTCTTCAGAGAGGCCGCTGTTGCCTGCCTGCTGGCGGAAGAGGAAGGAGGCATGCTTCATGGAGCGCTGTAGCAGGTGCCTCCGGAAGGCCCGCTGGATGATCGTGGCCGACACCTCCTCATGCTTGCGCCGCAGTGTGGTGGTGATGGGTTCGTAGGAGATCTTGGATGGGTTGGCCGCCATAAACTTCTCCTCCATCTGGATCTTCAGGGCGTCCATCTCCCCAGACTCACCCAGGACCCTCTTGGTGAAGGCAAAGAGTATATCCATGCAGTGAATACGGTCCCCGCTCACCATGGGCAGGTCCATATTGATGAGGCTTATCTGGTTGGGCTTGGCGATACGGAGTGGCTCAGACAGGGCATCGGCGAAGTCGGACAGGGCCGAATACTCAATGAACTGGGTGGCCTCTGGGTCGAACTTCTCCCAGATTTCATAGAACATGTCAAAGTCATCCTCACTCAGGGGCTCGGTGCTCTCCTCCGTGGCCACACTGAAGTTCTCCAGGATGATGGCAATGTACATGTTGACCACAATGAGGAATGAGATGATGATGTAGGTGGTGAAGAAGAGGATGCCCACAGCTGGGCTCCCACAGTTCCCCCGGGAGCCATTGCTGTTGGGCAGATTGGGGTCGCAAGAGGGGGGCCCTGTGTTGAGGATGGGGCTGAGGAGACCATCCCAGCCAGCTGACGTGGTGATCTGGAAAAGGCAGAGCATGCTGTTGGCGAAGGTCTGGAAGTTGAACATGTCGTCGATGCCAGCCTCCCACTTGACATAAGCAAAGTTGGCCATGCCAAAGATGGAGTAGATGAACATGACGAGGAAGAGTAGCAGGCCAATATTGAAGAGGGCAGGCAGGGACATCATGAGGGCAAAGAGCAGTGTACGGATCCCCTTGGCCCCTCGGATCAGCCTGAGGATGCGGCCGATTCGTGCCAGGCGGATGACTCGGAAGAGTGTTGGGGAGAAGAAGTACTTCTGGATGATGTCTGAGAGCACAGTGCCTGTGGGAAACAACAGAGACTGAGGCCACTAACGGCATCTCTCTCCTCCTTCCAGCCCAGTGTCACTGGGTAGGGTCTCTGTATGGCCAGAAGCCAGGGAGAGGAGGTCCTTCCAGGAGGATTGGGTCACCTGGGGCATGCAAGGACCCTGCCTTTCTCCTCTCTCTGAGTCTCCATTTCTGCATCTATGATCCAGAAAATGAGGACCACAGTACCCACATCCTTCGCAAAGTGCCTTCTCAGCCCCTTTGTTCCCTACTTTTCTGAGAATACCTGCACAATAGAGCTGTACTAGGCCTGTTTTCTAGATCATGGGTCTGAAGCCTGAGGGGACTTGCTCAGCATCTTGGTGACTCGTTTGGAGCAGAACTCAGGCCTGTTAGCTCCTCGCTACTCAAAGTGTGGTCCGAGGACCAGGAGGCTTGGGATCTCCTGGGCGCTTATCAGAAATGCAGAATCTCAGCTTCACCCCCAGACTCACTGTGTTTTGACAAGCCCAGATGATTCATGTGCACACTGAAGTGCAAGATACACTGGCCCAGAAGCCAGTGCTCTCCCCCACGCCACGTGTGTCACATCTCAGCCTCTCTGAGATGGTTCCTATCACCCTCCCATCTCTGCTAGCTTCCAAGGCTTTCCCACCCTTTGGTCTCTAATGATTACTCTGGGTTTGGAGTTTTAAGGAGCAAGGATATAAGTTATAGGAGAAAGAGTGAAATAAACTTGCCTTGTATTGGCCCCAGTGACCTCTCCAGACTCTTCACATAATAACAATGTCACTGGCTGACATGTGTCCAGTGTTTCCTGTCAACTAGACTCTGGGCTGAGCACTTTATATCCATCCATGGAGCCCTTCCAATTACCCTAGGAGGTAAGCTGATACTATCATCCTCATTTTGCAGAAGAGGAAACTGAGAAATCAGGTAACTTACCTAAGTTACCACCTAGTCAGTGATAAGCTGGAATTTGATTCAGACACTCTGGCTCCAAGTTGACCTGTTAACCACGCGTCCTCGGTACGGCCCAGCACCAGGACCAGGAGGTGATCGTGAGGTATATGCTGCACCTTCCAAAGCCTCTGAGAATTGTCCCTTAATGGCTCCCTTCCTACTGCTGACCTCCTGCGTTCTCTAAAGCCCCTCTCCAGTCCCACTGGCCATGCTCTTGCCCTCACCCCTGTCTGGGACCTCCCAGAGCACTTCCTGACCCTACTTCCAGCTTCTAACCATCTGCCCCTCACTGCAGCCACAGTAGCCCCTGCATTTTCCTGAGTTCACCGAAGGCAGGTGCTGGACATGCAGAAAGATGATAGTCAGTCACCCCAAGGCAGAGTTCCGTGGGGGCAGGGTCAAGAGTTTGGGCTCTGAGCACAAGCGACAAAAGAAAAAAATATTGATAAACTGGACTTAATCAAAATTAAAAACTTTGTGCTTCAAGAGACAACAACCAAGAAAGTGAAAAGACAACCCACGGAATGGGACAAAATATTTGCAACTCATATATCTGAAAAGGGACTTGTATCCAGAATATATAGAGAACTCTTACAACTCAAAAATAAAAACATAAATAAGCCAATTAACAAATGAGCAAAGAATTTGAATAGATATTTCTCCAAGACATTTCTCTTGTTATATACCAAGGAAAATGACCAATAAGCACATGAAAAGATGTTCAGCATTATTAGTCATCAAAGAAATGCAAACTAAAACCTCAATGAGATATCACTTCATACCCACTAGGGTGGCTATAATAAAAAAATCCAGACAACAACAAGTGTTGGTGAGGATGTAGAGTAATTGGAACCCTCACACATTGATGAGGGGAATGTCCAATGTTGCAGCTGTGTTGAGGGCAGTCCCTCAAAACTTTAGATTAGTGGTTTCCGGGGGCTGGGGAGAGAGCAAATGACTGCTAAATGGGTACAGAGTTTCTTTTGGGGGTGAGGAAATATTCTAAGATTAGATAGTGGTGATGGTTGCACACCTCTGTGAATATACTAAAGACTATTGTATTGTATACTTTAAAGGGTGAATTTTACAATATGTGAATTATATCTCAATAAAACTGTTATTAAAAAAGAATTTGGGCTCTGAGGTCAAACAGGCATGGCTGTGTGCCATGGTCTGAATGTTTGTGTCCCCCCAAATTCATATGTTGAAATCCCAACTCCCAAAGATGATGGTATCAGGAAGTGGGCCTTTTGGGAGGTGCTTAAGTCATGAGGGTGGAGCCCTCATGAATGGGATCAGTGCCCTATAAAAGAGGCTCCAGAGAGATTCCCTAGCCCCTTCTACTTTGTGAGGGCACAGCAAGAATGTGCTGGCTATGAACAAGAAAAAGGACCCTCCCCAGAAAACATGACCATGCTGGTGCCTTAATCTTCCAGCATGCAGAACTGTGAGAAATAAATTTCTGTTGTTTATAAATTACCCAGTCTGGTATTTTGTTATAGCAGCCTGAACGGACTAAGTACGAATCCTATCTCTGCTGCTCCCTAGCTGTACGATCTCCCTGCCTCAGTGCTGACTTCATACGGTGAATTGCATGGCGTGGGTGATGTCTGAAGGAGCCTGGCATGCACCTTGGTTACTAGACTCCAAAATTTTCCATGTCCAGGGAAAACTTCTACCCTAGAGGGCCACCTGCCTTCCAACCCTGGAGACTCCATCTCACCCTGAATGAGCCTCTTCCTCCTTCAACCTAAGGTGCAGGCTTTCCCTTGGGAGGGCAGGGAAGCCACCACAGCCCCCACTCCCTTTCCCAGACTCATCCTTGAAGCTCTCCAAGCATGTTCTAGGATCCCATGGAGGGTGGGGCTCGGAGGGGGTGCTGGGTCTTCTGCCAGGTTGGACCCCTTGGCCTGAGTGGACCCTCACAGACAAGTTCTCTCTGGAGGGGTGTGTATGTATGTATTTGTGTGTGTGTTTGTGTGTGACGAAAGGAGAGGTGAGGAATGCCGAGAGAAAAGAATGTAGGAGCCTAGTGTACTTGGCATTAAGTACAAACCCAGGGCTGGAGGAGTAGCCTGGCCTAGGGAAGGCTTCTCTGTTCAGCCGACTTGCATACCCACCCACGATGGAGAGGATGACAACCACGAAGTCGAAGATGTTCCAGCTGTTGGTGAAGTAGTAGTGGCGCAGGGCAGTCATCTTGATGATACACTCGCCTGTGAAGATGGCTACAAACAGCAGGTTGATCTTGGCCAAGATGTTGACCTTCTCAGGGCTCTGATCATCTGTCTCCACCATCATGGTCACCATGTTCAAGCAGATGAGAAACATGATGGTGACGTCGAAGGCCTGCTTGGTCACAATGTCGAATAAGAAGCCCTGGTACTTGTTCTGAAAGGAGGGGCAAAGGATGGACTCAGCAGGTACCTAAGACAGGCTAGCAGGCCCCCTGTTGCTGCCTCTCAGCCCAGACCACCCATCCTCCTACTCCACCCTCTGAGGCCAACACACCGCCAGACTGTCACAGTGAGAGGAAGAAGTCAGGAGCCTGAAACAGCCTGACTCTCCTGCTGAAACCTGCCCTGAGCTTCAAGGCCCAGCCCCGAGGCTCCTTCTTCCCTGAGGCCTTCTCTGATGGATCTCCAGGGATTTCTCCTACCCTGAGTTTTCTTAGCACATCATACATTGTGCTTCTCTTTTTGTTCTCACTGTCTGAAGGCTCAAGGCCAAGTTTAAAGTTCAAACCTAGTAACTGTATTAGCCCTCAGGTTAACAAATTTTCTCCACTCTTTTTATGGAATTGATTTTACTTATTCTACTAATTATATTTATATGTGTCTTTAATTGTAAGCCACCCAAGATTATTTTGGGGAAGAGAGAAGATTATAAATAAGTGAAAACACACACATACCCACACTTTTTTGGGCCTGTTTGGGCCAAGGATGTCAGCATAGCAGAGAACCCAGCATCCCTCCTGGTCCCACCCATCAGGTGACTCTACTGCTCAGGGGGTTGCAAGGATGAGTTTATGAATGGGGGAAGGGGCTGCGAAGACTGCCCTGTTCTCTGGGGGAAAGCCTGCACCCTTGCAGGGGAGGAGGGGGCTCACTCAGAGGCAGATGGGTTCCTGTGCGAGGGGAGTGTGCCCTGGTTGCCACAGCCATCTCATGCCTTCCTCACTGTCTCCATGAGACTGAGACTCTATGTGAGGTCAGAGGTCCCGTGTTCCCTGGACTGGCTGAGGGCCCCAGGCTCAGCCTAAGATCATGAAGAGGCCCCCGACAGCTGGTTGTGTGGCATGGGGGTGTCCCAGAGACCCCTAGCAGACACCCCCAACTCCTGCCAAATAAGGAGCCTGGCTCACCAGGGGCCTTGGGATGGGCTTCTGGGGCTTCTTGGAGCCCAGCTTCTTCATGGCATTGTAGTACTTCTTCTGCTCCTCTGTCATAAAGATGTCCTGGCCCCCTAAGTGCAGAGAGACAGGCCCCAGCCTCATTTTAGGGTTCTCAGAGGCTCTAGAATGGAGGACACAGGGATCTTGCCTCCTTGATGAGGGTGCCAGAGTCAGCCTCCTCCTTCCTCTCCACATGGAGAAAAGTCCCTATCCTGCACCAGAGATTCCTCCCCAAACCTGCTTTTCCAGGGTCCCTGTCCCCATTCATTTTGAGATCTTTCTGGCTTTGTGACCGGCAAATCCAGTCCCCACTCCCTATCCTCTCTCCTGCCCAGCTCAGTCAGGCTAGAGGTTCTCTCTGCCCACTTGGTTTGCCTGCAACCAAATCATGGCCCATCTGATGAAGCTCCGGGAAGACCCTAGCCTCTGCACAGGACCCCCTTATTGTCCCTGATCATGGACCAGGTGAATAGTCCCAATCCTCACCACCACTTCTCAGGAGCCTCATCTCTCAGGTAGACTAGCGCAGGTGTGGGGCCCCTTGTTACACTCTTACAGGCCAAGGCATGTGACATCATGGACACACCCCTCTTCACTTGATTCCAGCAGGAGCAGGAAGAGGCCCATCCCCAACAGGAAGGCAAAATGGGGCCAGGAGCCAGAATGGCTCCTCAGTCCCTTGCACCCCACCCTGCCTGCCAGCCCAGGGGGAGCCTGTGCTCTACGTATCTTTTTCTTCTGTTGGTTGAAGTTGTCAATGATGACACCAATGAAAAGGTTCAGGGTGAAGAAAGACCCGAAGATGATGAAAATGACGAAGTAGATGTACATGTAGAGGTTGTATTCCCACTGGGGCTGCTCTTCATACTATGGGAGAGAAATCAGACAGGGAGATCAGCCATGCAGAAATGGGGGGTGGGTGGGCTGGGGGTGTCCACTCTGTGGGAGAGAGGGTGTGTCCAGAGGAAGGTCACCAGCACAGGGGTGTGTGTCTGTGAGTACACAGCAGGGCTGGGGGGTGGTGGGAATGGAGTTGAGAAGAGTGGATGGTGGCAGGTGAGCAGAGCAGGCATGCTGGGCTCAGGACTGGCACAGTGTCACTGCATGGCTTCTGCCCCTGGGCCATTGGGAGGTTTGAATATATCGGGCATCTCCCAGTCTTCAATGAATGTCAGTGTGATTGGGTGGGGTACAAGGACAAAGAAGAAACTTGACTCGCATCTCTGTTGCTTCCACCCCACCCTCCTGGTGTAAGACGTTAAGATTCAAGAAAATTACAGTGAATTTAATTTGGAAGCTATTAGAGAATTTTGGGACTCCTTGGGAGACCACGCAATCTTGCCCCAGGGCCAGGCCTCGGCATTCCAGAGAGGCTCAACTCCAGGTTGACACAAGGGATCTGGCCCTTACGGGGTGGGCTTTCAGATGTGGACAATGATTCCCTGGTGGCCAAGCAGCCGGGAGCCTCAGGGGCTTGACCTGGTGGGAGAGGCTAGTGTGGCAACCTACCCCCCTGGAGTCCACAGCCGCATACATAATGTCCATCCAGCCTTTAAATGTTGCCTGGAAAAAAAAGACAAGAGTAAGAATCATTTAACTCTGCACCTATTGAGCTACTTAGGGCTCCTGTCTGGACAGATGAGGCCAGGAAATAGCTTCCTACAAGAAGCAAGCAGCCCACCCCACCCCTTCAGCAGTGTCCACATAGCTGGGCGGTCAGGGAAAGGCCTTCTTGTTCAGGGCTAGGGCTGGAGGGGAAGCCAGCCGAAGAGATACCCCAAGAAGGCCACGCAGTGGGGGAATAAGCTTCTTGATGTTGGCCAAGAGACTGATGAGGTCTGAAGGAGGTCTGCCCTTCAGATCCACATTCATTTCAAATTCTAAAATGACAAAAGTCCTACAGCGGGTGTCAGGGCCAGAGAGGTGGGCTTGGGCTCTCTGTTCTGGCTTAAGGTGGATCCCAGGCTGACCTGGTCCCCTTTGTCATGCACCTCAGAGAACCTTGTGGCTTCTGCTCCATGGCCTTTCCAAGGAAGTCCCTGAAGAATCTCAACCTTCCCTGTACTTAAGGGGGTCCTTTGGCCAGTGTTGTGTTGGTAAATGGCTAACAAATGGCTTTCCCAAAGAAAAAAAGCCCTGATTATTGTGTTTGCCAACTTCACTGAGTAAATAGTCCGACCCTGGCTGATTTCAAGTTGCCAATGTGTCGTCACTGAACACAGAGTTGGGAAGAGATGCATTGGAGCATAGAACTGTAGTATTTCCACTGTACAGATACAATAGATGTAAATAATCTTAAGAGCACAGACAGTAATAATTGGTAATGGTGAGTTGTGATTTTGTTTTAATATCATCCAGTTCATTTTAAGTTTATAAAATCCAATTTTTAGTAATGGCTTGCAAAATATCTGAAAATGTAACAATCAGCTCTTGTGAGCCCACACAAGCTGGCACTAGCACACCACACTGAGGCAGGAAAGAGGGAGGCGGAATGAGACGGCCCTGGTACTGGCTGTGTTGTCTGCCCCAGGCTGGGCTGCTATCAAGACTCAGAAAGAGCCTGAGAGACATGCTTCGTGGTGAGACCGACTGCCCAATGGGTCTCACTTGTGTCCTTGGCAAAATCCAACCATGCCCCGAGCTTCTTTCAGGGCACAAGCTCATCTACACAAACTTTCCATGTCTGAGAGTTTTATGAGGCAGGCAGGGCAGATGCGGAAACCAAGGCCACCCCAGATACGGCAGTGTACTTCAGCTCCCTGTGCTATGGCACTCTCACCTGTAAAGAGAGGCCTGGAAATGCTTTGGAGACTGCTGGGGACCACCCAAGGTTACAAGATGTTCGTTACTGAATTCTTTCCAGCCACTGCGCAGTTCTGTCAGAACAGCACACAGTTCTCAGTCTACAAAAGGGGCCTCTCTTTCCAAGTTCTGACATTCAGAGGGACAGTCACGGGGACGGGAGGCTCTCTAGGTTTGGTTCTAATCCTGTTCTCCATGAGGCATTTCAGGGAAGTCTCTGGAGAAAACTGCTACTGGGATTTAAGGGGTGGGTGGAGGTGTGAGTGGATGCGAATTAGGTTTTCAGGGGACAGTCCACTGAGTTTTCCTCTGCTTCGGGGACTAGAGACAGGGGTCTGGGCTTAATTGGAATTGCCAGAAAAACAAGCTGCAGCTGTATGCATCACGGTTCTGTTTGCATTTCGGTTGTCAAGGCTATTTGTTGGTTAATTTTATGGCGTGTGTTATAATCACTGAAGCCACCATCCTCACAAATCAATGGAAACTTTAAAAAGACTGGGTAGGGCTGTGTGTGTTTAAACATCACGCATCTTGCACATCACAGATGGAAGTAAATATATTCTTTTAAACAATGCAGGAGGTATCACTACCTTTTATAACAGAGGGGTGGCCAGAGTCACAATTTTACTAATAGTTCAATCCCTGGGTGTGTATGGTCTTTTTTTTTTTTTTTTTGTGAAGAAGATTGTTGCTGAGCTAACATCTGTGCCCATCTTCCTCTATTTTGTATGTAGGGTGCCGCCACAGCATGGCTCGATGAGTGGTGTGTAGGTCCACGCCCGGGATCCAGACCCACGAACCCTGGGTCGCTGAAACAGAGCACATGAACTTAGCCACTATGCCACTGGGCCAGCACCCGGTCTTTCATTTTTAACCTGTGCCGTCACACTGCCAAACTGATAGCATGTGGTCAGCTTGACTACTGGCTGCAGAGCTGGTTCTGCCGCAGTGCTGAACCCCATGCCACACATCCTGGAGAATGTGGCATCAGCTCTAGAATGGAAAATCTGGGGACTTCTCAAGGAGCCAAGAAGTCTCTGGAGAATCCTTACCCTCCTTTGGGCAGTGTGAGTCTATTGTGAGGATCCAGAGTGGCCTCACTGTCCCCCTCCTGCCCAGAACATGGGTGAAGGTGCCTGTTGCTGGAGAGCCAGTGGGAGGAAGGAAGTCCCTCCTCTCCAGGACTTACCACCTGCAGAAGGGCCAGGTACCCGGCCCCCACGTTGTCAAAGTTGACTTTCACCTTGGTCCAGTGCAATTCGCCAGTCACGTTGAAAGACTCACAGTCACTCTTGTTGTTCACGATGGTGTAGTTCAAAGGCAGGTCTCCCTCAGTCTGGTTGATGCACCTCCCAAACTTCCCCGCGAAGAGGTTCACGCCCATGATGCTGAAGATGAGCCAGAAGATGAGGCAGACAAGGAGGACGTTCATGATGGACGGGATGGCGCCCACCAGGGCATTGACCACAACCTTGAGTGGACGCACAAGAGGCTCAGTTCCCCGGGGGGCCCAGAGCATATGCCCTTTGCAAGTCCCCTGCACTGAACTCCCTGGCTACAGGTCCCTGTGGGGGTTGGGGTGCAGAACACTTCCTGGCCCCAAGGAAGGGCAACCCATGGCTGGAAGCCCTGGTGGGGAGTGAGGGAGAACATACACAACTTTTCTTTGCACCCTAAAGTCTGATGCAACTCCAGAACATCTACCTTTCCCGTCTTGGCCCTGCCCTGAGTGCATGACCTTCAAACTTAATTTTCAGCTGGGTCTCTGCTAGTTGAGTATGCCAGAAACCTGATGGGAAAGGGCCTCTGGAGACACATTCTCTGAGCTGTTTCTGGTTTGTTTTGGGGTTGCTGCTATTGGGATGGATGGGTGTTCTCTCCTAAAGTATGCCCAGGGGCCCTCGTGTGTATGTCTGGAGGGTGCTGACAGTTCTCTAACGCGGCAGTGAGAGCAGAGCCGGGAGGGCAGGTGCTGTGGGTGCTCCTGTGCCTCTGCCCTCTCCAGGGAGCAGCTCTCTGACCCCCCGGAGCCACGGCCTCATGCTCTTCATCTAAACTCACAGCACCCAGGAGACACTTCCTTGGCAAAGGCATATGGGGCACTCCACTCCACTGAGGGATGAAGTCCAGGAGCCCAGAACATGTTTGCCACACAGACTGGGAGTGAAGGTCGTGTAGGTTGTGTGGTGGGCATGGTGCTGGGATGAGGAATGCTGACACATGGCAACATGAGGGAGTCCCTGGTTCCCCAGCAAGCACAATGAACCCGGGAACAGGGTGGGAAACCACAGCAGAGGCATTCCTGGCAATGAGCATCTCCCTCATGTCCCTCTGGCATCAAAAGTCCCTGCTTCCAAAGAGACATTTAACTTGGGTCGGACTATGCACTTGTGAATGATTTCCCACAGGGAATAAGCAATTTGTTTCTCTGTGAATTGGGGGTGTGGGCAAAGTTCAAAGCCATCAACCAAATGGGGGCTGTGTGATGTGCTGCTGGCTCAGTGAGAGAGACACAGGTGTGTCTGCTGAAGCCACAACAGAACTGTGCACGTTTGTAAAAACAAAAAAACGCACACACAAACACATACATATATGTTTGTTTTCTTGCTATATATTATGAGTAATGTTTTTTCTTGGTGGGCTTTTAATTTGCTTTATTTGTGCACACTCTTTGGTAAAATTTAGTGACTTGAAAAATGCATAGGGCTCCGCACTTAGAAAATAGTGCAGGGCCAGCCCTGGTGGCCTAGTGGTTAAGTTTGGCGTGCTCCACTTCGGCGGCCCAGGTTTGGTTCTTGGGCATGGATCTACACCACTTGTCTCTCGGTGGCCGTGCTGTGGTGACGGCTTACATAAATAAAAAAAAAAAAAAAGAAAAAAAGAGGAAGATTGGCAACGGATGTTAACTTAGGGGGAATCTTCCTCAGCAAAAAAAAAAAAGAAAAGAAAGAAAGAAAATAGCTCAAAAGAGTTTACTAAGCAAATGCAAACTGATATCTGATGGCGAGATATCAGCTTGCTCCCTCCTTGCTCCCTTCACCCTCACTATCACTACTGCCCATCACAGATGGCGGGAAGGTGGCCTGTGTGTGCCAGGAGGCAGGGGACACAGACAGGCACACGGAGTCGGGGCACACACAGAGGTGAGGACCTGCAAGGGAGAAGAAGCAGAGGGCCCCGGGGCCCACAGGGCTGGGCTGCAGCTGAGACCCCTGCGCCCAGCGCCTCACTTCCCCTCCTTGGTCCAGTGCTCTTCTGGCCTTATAGAGCCCATAGGGCTGGAGATGACAGGCCTGGGGGGAGAGTTACCACAGCTCTCCAGCCTCTGGGCACTTCCAAGCCCAGCGAGCCTCTCCTGGAGATTCTGCATCATGCTCCTACCAAGTCAGGGGGGCCACAGTCCCAGCTCCAGGCTGGGCAGTTTGGTCAGCAAGCTGAGCCTGGGGGTCCCCTCAGTGGAGTCACCTCCCACTGCCCCGGTGGGAAGGCAGCCATCCCTCTTACCCTCATGCCTTCAAACCGGGACAGGGCTCGTAGGGGCCGGAGTGCACGCAATGTCCGCAGCGACTTGATGGGGCCCATCTCAGAAAAGCCCAGGGTGTTGGCCACCAGGCTGATCAGCGAGACCTGTGGGAGGCAAGGTGGGGGTAAGGGCCGTGAGGATAGCTCTAGAGACAGGTGGTGGGGCTCCTGGCCCGCCTAAAACAGGGCTGGGTGCAAGAGAGCTAGGAGGCCTTCCCCATGTCCAACCTTTACTATTCCCGGGTGGATCGTCTTCACAGGCTGTCATGCACTGGGCCAGCCCTCCTGGGGCCCAAGATGCTGGGGGCGAGCCAGTGTGTCCTGGCTTTCCGACCTTTACTGAGAGCCTGCCATGTGCACCTCACACACATGGCTGCAATAACGCCATTACACCCAGGACTCGGAATGCATCAAACCTATTTCACAGGTGAGCAAACTGAGTTCCAAAGCCACCTGCTAGTGTGGAGAGGCAGGGACACAAAGCCTGGGCTTTTGGTCCCCTTGTGCTTTTTTCCAAGTCAAATTCTTGGGCTTTTCCCTTCCCTCCCCCAAAGAAGCCTCTTTTGGGAAGGAACGACTGTCTTGGTTGAGTACGAGCAGACAGACACTCCTGTGGCATTTCCCCAAAGCCGGACTTCACCACAGTCCAACATCTTCAAAGAAGGGAGACACAGGTGAAGATTCCATGGTAACAGGAGCCTCAGCTCTCTGTTCCCTCTGTCCCATCCCCACTGGGGCATTTCCACCCAGTGGACTTTATCCTTCTAAAGCTCCATGGGCATCCAGTCCCTTCTTACCTCACTGCTGGCCTGTGATCACAGATTGGAAATGGCCTCCTGCCTGACCTCTCCTGCGATCACCATTAATACCATCCTGGCACTCAGGGCAGCCTGGGGGTGGTGAGGAGGGCGGGGTAGGGGCCTGACTCCCCTAGCCTCTTCCCAGGCTTAGGCTTGGAAGCACCGGGTTGGGAGGGGGCTGGGCAGAGGGGCTCGGAGGAGGAAGACTCCCAGGATCGACTTCTGTGTTGCCCCTACTCAGCCCTCGAGGATGCTGGGCTGCAGGTCCCCATTCCTGGAGAGGCAGAGAAGCATGTGGAGGACAGGGCTCCAGGGACCAGGTCCAGCGTCCGCCTACCTAGTTACCAGCAAGACACCTTTGTCATCTGTTCTTTCCAGAGCTTGCCCCACCTGCTCCACCCATAGTCCCCCCATCTCAGTTGATGGCAACTCCATCCTTCCAGCTCCTCCGGTCACAAGCCTTGGCGCCATCCTGGCCTCCTCTCTTGTCTCTCACACCCTACAGCCAACCCATCAGGATTTCCTGTTGGCTCTGCCTTCAAAATACATCTGAAGTCCAAACATTTCTCACCACTTCCGCTGCCACCATGCTGGCCAGGCCACCGTCATCCTCCCCTGGATTACTGCCACAGCCTCCCAACTCTTCTCTCTGCTTCTGCTAGTTTCTCCCCCTCCCCGACCCTCCAGTGCGACCCTTCAACAACAGGAGTCAGTTCAGGTCACTCTTCTGTTCAAAGCCCTCCAAGGCCTCCCCGTTTCACTCTCAATAAAAGCCCAAGTTTTCCAAAGGCTGCACCCTTCTCTCCCATGCAGTCTGGCCTCATCTCCCGCACTTCTCTTGCTTGCTCACTCTGCGCTGGCCCCTCTGGCCTCCCTGCAGCTCCTCGAGTATGCCGGGCAGGCTCCCACCACCAGGCCTTTGCACTGCTGTTCCAACTTCTGCCTGGAATGTTCTGCAGACATCTGCCTGGCTAACCCCAGCTTCCTTCAAATCTGCTCAAATGTGGCCTCAGCAGGCCCACCCTGGTCAGCCTATTTTAAGGTGTAACGGACACCTTCCCCTCCCCCCGAGTCCTGGCCCTCCTAATCCCTTCCCTTCTCCACTTCCTGCTGCTGCACGGTTCACATCACCTTCTAACTTAATAGAAAACTGGCTTATGATGAGGCTGGTTGTTCACAGTCACCTTCCTCCATGCGGGCAGGGTTTTTGTCTATTTTTTCCCCAAGATCCCCAGCTTGCACATAGTAGATGCTCAATAGTTTTTATTGAAAAAGTGCCTGAATGGATCCTGGAAACAACCTTCTCCAGACCTTGAGGCCTGAAGTCCACCTCTACCAGGAAGTGTGGGGGTTGGGGACAGCATGACCAGTGTCAGGAAAGCTGGATTTCTAGCACTCACTTCCTCCTCCTCGACCTTGGGCAAGGCCCCTCCCTGCTGTGAGCCTCGGTTTCCTTCTCCACAGGCTCATTCTCTGATCTTGGGACTGACCGTCTCCTTTGCCCAGCCTCAGCTCTGAGTTCCCCAAGGTGGCAAGTGGTGGGGGGTTGGTGGGCTTCCCCAGGAGTCTTTGCAAACTCCCTCTGGCCTGCCTGGGGGAGTCCCTCAGCAGGCCCAACTTCCCAAGAAGCTGCAGGAACAGCTGGCTGCGGGGGCATCGGGGCAGAGCTGCCAGGATCCCAGGCCTTCCCATGGCCCCTGAGCAGAGAGGCCTCAGGGGTCCCTCCTTCATCTCAGGGAGGCTCCAGGGCTCCAGGCTGTAAGGGCATCTGGAGCTCCCTCTCTCCCTCCCTGCCACCCAGCACACCTCACCCCAACATTAGCATCCTCTCAGCCACTGGGGGTGATAGAAAGAGGCCTGGAATGGAGACCCAATGACCTGGATCTGTCTCCATGCCTACTCTAGCCCAAGGATACTGTCCTGCTGTAGCCACTCAAGGTCTGACCTCCCACCCAGGCCTGGACCCTGGCCGGGCCTACTGGGGGCTGAGCCCTTCCCTTTGGCCTCTGAGTGGGGTGTGGTGACTTAGCACTGGCTTGAGCCTCTTCCGTAACCAGAGGAAGGACAGCCCCTGTGGGGGGGCAGAGCCTGATGCCACGCCCAGAAGCCATGGGCACCTTCTGGAAAGCTCTTCCCAATCTGCAGATCCTGATCCACACTCTGTTCTGCAGGACCCACCACAACCTGATGGTGAGCCCTCACTTGAGCCTTTGCCTTTGCCGTGTTCCCTCTGCCCTCAGTGAATGCAGATCCCAGGCTGCTCTGCATCCTGAGTCTCATTTCTTCCCCCTCTGGCTGCTCTCCCACTTGAACATGCTCAGGAATCCCGTGTGTGGACCCTGAGCTCACCTGCTTGGCACCCAGCAGTGTCCTGGGGCCCAGGCAGCTGTGGGGCAGGGGCCTCCCACTCCCTCTGCCAACTGAGTGCAAAGAGGACATGCCAACCTCTTCCCCAGGGCCTCCCTGGACACACCCCATGCAGGCAAGCCCTGCCAGCTACCGAATGTCCAGGGCAGCAACCCAGAACCCCTCAGCCAGTGTTCACGGCTCTCCTCCTTTCCACAGGTGACTCCATCGCCTTGCTCATCCTCCCCAAGTGATATCTTCCACCTGAGCCGGGAGGCTCTCCCCTGCCTGCCCAGCATCCCCTCACCAACCCTGCCCGCTCTGGCCTCCAGCTCACTCTCCCCACTGTACAGACGGCCTCCTCCCGTGTGTGGGCACGAGGCTCTTTACTGGCCATCTGTCTAGCGGGCCTGACAGACACTTCACAGCATGCCGTGGGGAGTGCCACAATGCAGGCTTGTCTGCTGCCCCCTCTTCAGGCCGCCCTGAGAGGGTGAGCCCCGACTCCTGCCCCGGCTCACACCCCTGCCTGGACTGCTCTTCACTGTCCCCCGTGGTGAGTCTAGTCTCCCCCAGAAGCCTGGGGGCTCTGAGGCAGGGCCTAGATCTCCCCCGGCTCCTCTGTCTCCCCAAATTGGGGTCCTGATGGCAGGGCCCAGGCCTCTCCTCCGTGACCCCAGACTCTGGCCTCCTTCCCCTCTGCCTGCCCCATGGCACAGCCGAGCGCCTCCACGTTAGCTTGCGGACTCCCGCTGGCCCTGTCATTCTGTCCTTCCACCCCTCTGCCTCAGCTCCTCCTTGCACTGGCAATGGGTCCCCCTCCTCTCTTCCCTTCAGGGCCCCACACTCACGTCCACGATGAGGAAATCGAGCCAGCACCAGGCATTGGTGAAATACTTCTTGAAGCCGTAGGCCACCCACTTGAGCAGCATCTCCAGCACGAAGACGTAGGTGAACATCTTGTCGGAATACTCGAGCAGGACCTTGATGGTCTTCCGCTCCTCCAGGTAGATGTCCTCGAAGGCCTGCAGAGCAGGCCGGACAAGGTGGACATGACGTCCTGACCACTACCAACCCCAGCCGGCACCAGGCTTCATCTCTAACAATAAGTGCCGCCCAGGAGGGCGGGGAGCAGAGGTGAGAGGTGTAGTGGAGGGGGTTTCCCTGCGGTTGGCGCTGGACTACCTCAGCCTGCTCTCCAGGGCGCGTGTGTACCACGTGGGCCATGAACCCATCTTACGTGGTATATGGACAACAAGGCAGAATGCTAGTGAGAATGCAGCTTCCTTCACAGAAAGAGCAAGTCTCAGCTCTGGCCTAGTGCATCTTCGAGACCTTTCTAAAGCTTGCTGACCTCCCACTTTAACAAGGAGAAAGGGCCTGCAGGCTTGGCTCACAGCCTGAAGCTGGGAACGACACAAAATTTTTTGTTTTCACTCCACTTCATTTTTACTCTATTTACTTTATAGTTACCTAATTTTCATGGGAAACAATACTGGTTTCCAATTATAATAATCATTAAAATTTTCCCTTTGCAACAAATTTATTTAAACAAACAAAAACCGGTAAGAGTTGATCTAAAGCAAAATTGTAAATAAATGATAGTAAAGGCAGTTTGTAGAGAGGAAGTTCAGGAAACACAGGACTAGATAAAGTTAAACCTCCTGCAATCCTAGGAATATAGGGGTCAAAGTTCCTAAAATGCTAGTTGTGTCTTTCTCTACCTCCTTGTTCCTGCCTCAACCCAAATTCCTGAGCCAACAGAGAAACTCTGACGGCTGCAGCTGCCCTCTTCCACCTCAGTCTTCTGATCTGTACCTGCTTCTCTCCAGTTACTTCTCCAGGTCAGAGTGTGCTCTGAGGCTCCCAGTCTAGGCAACTGGACACGTCACTGAGGGCCCTGGGGAGCTGCTTCCACCCAGGCTCTGGGCCTCCCTGTCTGACTGCAGGGCCTCTGTGAGCCGCAATGGTCCAGGAGGCCAGTGCTGTCAGCAGTGCCCAAGTACGCACTGCTGAGTCAGGCATATGGCTAATCTGGTCAGTGTAGACGGGACAACAGGATAATTCAGGTCCCCAAATGGACTCTGGGAGTTGTTCAAGCTAAAACGTAGGTGTGTTTTTTTCTGATTATAAAAATGTGTGCATCTTATAAAAAATTAAATAATATAGAAATTATAAAAAAGAGAATAAAAGGCACCTCCAATTTCAGGACACTGCTAACATTTAGATGAACATTCTTTTTGACACTATTTGTGTGTATATGCAAGCACACAATTTTATAAGATATACTAAATATTTTGCTTTGAAATTTCTTTTTCCACGAAACAATCTTTTGTGAACATTCATCTACTCAATAATGTGAATATATACAATATCATTCTTTTTAAAGGCTGCATAATATTTCATTATTATTATTATTTTTTTGTGTGAGGAAGATCAGCCCTGAGCTAACATCTGATGCCAATCCTCCTCTTCGTTTTTTTTTTTGCTGAGGAAGACTGGCCCTGGGCTAACATCCGTGCCCATCTTCCTCCACTTTATATGGGAGGCTGCCACAGCATGGCTTGACAAGCAGTGCGTCAGTGCATGCCCAGGATCCGAACCTGCGAACCCCAGGCCGCTGAAGCAGAGCACACGCACTTAACTGCTTGCACCACCAGGCCAGCCTCAATATTTCATTATTTGCATATACTACTGTTTATTTAGCCAATAACCCTATTAATGAACATTTCTGTTGTTTCCAAATTTATCCCTAGTAGAAAGAACATTGCAATGAACAACGTGTCTGATTATCTGTTGAGGATAAATTTCTAGAATTGGGATGTCAGGTCAAAGGTACACTTTTGGTACAGATTGGGAATGGGACCTCCAGAAGGGGACACCAACTCACACTCCCTCCACAGTGCAAGAAGGTGGCTCTTCCCCCACCACTCCACCCACACTGGGGGCGCTTCTCCTTTGTCACTTTTCCTAGCCTAATAAACAAAAATTGTATTTTGTTACATTTTTATTTACTTTATTACTAGTGATGCTGACTCGGATATTTGTGGTGTTCCCCTTGTGAATTGTTTGTTCATCTCCTTTGCCTATTTTTTTACTTGAGCTTCTGGTTTATTTGGGGACATTAACTCTTTATTTGATTCACTTTATCCTAGTTGTGTGCCTTTAAATCTTGTTTACCATACTGAAGTTCTATACTTCATTTTTATTTATTATTACATCATTTAATATCATTATATTGTTTATTATGATTTTCATTTCATAAAACCTTTGGCATCATGTTAAGAAAGCCCTTGCCTATTCCAAAGCCAGAAAAAAAATGACCCTTCTTTTCTTTTCTTTTTTTAACTTTCTGGTTTCATTGTTTTATATTACGATTTAAAAAATCTAACATATTGGATAAAGAGCAAATGTCCATTTGAATATTTTTTCAGAGTGGCTTGTCAACTGTCCCAACACTTTATTAAAGAATCCACTTCAAATCCACAGAAGTCAACGTTATCACATACTACATTTCTGTATTTACTTAAATCTATTTCAGACCTCTCTATGTGGTTCCACTGCTCTCTCTGTCTATTCCTGAATTAGTATCATATGAATTTTGCCTGGCCATTTTTCGTAATTTTCAAGATAATCTTTAGCAATATTTTGTCATATTCCCTCAAAAATGTTTGAAATTTATTGTTATTACATTGAATATGTTAACTACTTTAGGGACTAATACGGTCTTCCTACCCAAGACTAGAGTATATTTATAGTGTGTTTATCTATTTATTTGTCTTCTTTTACACTCCTTAGTCAAGTGTTTAGTTTTCTTCATCTACCTCTTATACATTTCATTTATATTTATTCTCATTTATGTTATGTTTACAATGCCTGGCATGTGAGGAATATTCAAGAAATGTTACTTGTGACTAAATGGTTTCTGTTAGTATAACACAACAACAACAGCCACAATTCTTTGTATATTTATTATATAGCTGGCCACATCATGTTTTTTTTTTGTTTTTTTGGTGAGGAAGATTAGCCCTGAGCTAACATCTGTTGCCAATCCTCCTCTTTTTGCTGAGGAAGATTGGCCCTGGGCTAACATCTGTGCCCATCTTCCTCTACTTTACATGTGGGATGCCACCACAGCATGGCTCGATAAGTGGTGATAAGTCTGTGCCTGGGATCTGAACCTACAAACCCCAGGCCTCTGAAGCAGAGAGCGTGAACTTAACCACTATGCCACCAGGCCAGGCCCCCACATCACGTTTTTAATAGGTTTTAAAATTTTTCTAGGCAATCATTATCTACAATTAATGATATATTTCTATTTATTTCTATTATTTTTTTACTCTCATTTTATACTTGAGTATATTAACTTCAATTCTTCTATTTTCCAATTTTTATACTGTTATGTTTAATTTTCTTGATTAATTGCACTGGCTAGTACTTCAAGATTACTATTAAATAATGAACAATAGCTAAAAAGTAGTTAAATCATCCTTTTTCTTCTTCTTGACTTTACTAAAAGTCTTTCAGGTGCTTTACTACTAATAAGGATGATAGAAGTTAATTTGAGAGTAAGTTTTTCACTAAATTAAGGAAATATATTTTATTTCTATTCTTAACATTAAGTTTTAAAAATCAGGCATTCATTGAGATAATTGTATGGTTTTTCATCTTTCTCCTACTCATATAAATAGATTTCCTAATATGGCACCATTCTGACTTTTTAGAATATACTTAGCTATGACTTATTTAATGTTCTAAATACATTGCTGGATCCTATTAGCATGTATTTTAAGATTTCTGCATCACTATTCATAAGTATGGAGTTTGAAAACTGATCTATAGTTTTCCTTTTGGTTTACTTAAGGTTTTAAAAATCAGCATTATTTAGCTTTCAAAAAAAGGATTTATATTTCCATCTTTTTATTATATGCTAGAATATTTTAAATAGGATTGGAATTATTTTCTTCCTTGAGAATGTGAAAGAATCCACTCTTGGAGATGTGAGAGATTAGATGAGCTAGTGGTTTATCTATTGAATTTTTCAAGGAATCAGCTTTGGAATTTTATCATACTATTCATTTTCTGATTCATTAATTTATGTTTTTATTTTATTAATTACTTCCTTTGCTTTCCTTAAGATTATTTTGTTATTATATTTATAATTTCTTGAGTTAAATAATTAATTAATTTACATTCTTTCCATTTAATAATAAAAGTGTTTAAGTCTATGAATTTTACTCTTATTACAGTTTTGGCTGCTTCCCACATGCAGTATTCTCAATATTGTTATTTTCTAGCTTTTGCCCCCTAGTCATGGTTTTTTCCTCTACTTCTATTTTTCCTTTCTTATTTTTCTAGATTTCAGGTGGACAGAACTGGTTGATTCATAATCTTTGATTTATAACACACCCTCATCTTTGGGCCATAAATAGTCTATTTTATTTATTTTCTTATTAATATAATAAACATCCATGAACCTACTACCAAGCTATTTTCTGTTTGATTTAAGGTTTGTTTAAGAATGACTTTTACATTTCTAAGGGTTTTTTTTTAATCTTTCTATTTTTGCTATATCTAGCAGTTTCCTTTTCTGTAAAATAGGCTTAATAATAGTACCTACTGCATAGGGTAATTGTGAGAATTAAATGAATTAATGTTTGTCAGATGTTTACAACAGGGTCTGGCACACAATGCATACTATGTAAGTGTTAGTTATTATTTTTATTATTATTAGGTTAGATCAAATTTATTGATTGTATATATTTTTTGGATTTTTCATTGTCTTGTGTTTCTACTTGATTTGTCAAGAACTAATATAAGTCTGGTAAAATCTCCCTGTACTATTATACCGTTGCCACTTTTTTTCTGTTTTTTTTTAACCCCAATGGTTTTTGCTTTATATAAGTGCTATGCAACCCCAAGCAAATATATTCATAATAGTTATATTTTTATTATAGGTTGGACCCTCTTTGTTTTATCTCAAGCTTTTTACCTTGAATTCAGCCTTGTTTAATATTAACAGACAAAAACACTCTCATTTTTGTTGTCATTGTTTGCATTTGCCTGATATATCTTATTATTTCACTTTTAATATTTCTGAGTCACATTGTTTCAGAGAGCACATGGCTGAGGTTTTTTTTAATCCATTCAGAGTCCTTTTCTTTTAAAAGATGAATTTTATCCAGTTACATTTATTATTAAGACACATGTTTGATCTTGCCTCTGCCATATTATTTTCTGTTTCCTGATTTAATGCTTCCTTGTTGATTCTTTTTTCTCCTATCTTTTGCTGTAAGATCTCTGTTTTCTTTAAAAAATTTTCCCTCCAGCAATTTGGAAGAGATATAGTCTGCTTTCTGTTAAACAAGTTTGTAACTTTAAATAGCACATTCAGACTTCTTTTTCTCAATGTATCATTGACATGGTTTTTTTAAAACAGTGCTTGGCTGTCTATCCTGATTAGATTCACCATTCGCTTGCCAAAACTCCTCCTCACTTATGCCAGGCTGAGCTCTTCCTCCACAGCCCAGCCTAAATGGCTCTGGCTGCCCTTGTTTGTGGCTGTTTAAAAACAAAACTCGTTAACATATTGTCAAATTCATCCTTCTCTGAATCCTACAGAGAATTGGCTCTAGCTGCCGATGGTAAAACAGCATGCAGCCTGCAAATCACGGCTCCAGGCCCACTCTGGAATAGGGGTGAGGTAGTACAGGGTAGATGGGATGCCCAGAGCTTTAGAAGTGACACCCACACTGCCTCCCCATGACTTGGCCCCAGAGGAGGCGGCAGACTGGAGGCACACAGCCTCGGACCAAAGTGGCCCTCTCCCACTCTGTGGTCCAAAGCATCCCCTGTTAGTTGCTCATCCATGTGGTTCTGACCTCCCTAACAACATCAGGTGCTTACTCGCCCTGGGCCAGAAAAGTTTCTGTTTCTTCTGCCTTCTTGATCACCTCTCTTCCTGCTCACCAGCACCTTCCAGAACCCTCTATAGGGTTATTCCTTCTCTTTGGAGAAGGGCTCTAACAGGTCAGAAGTAGGGTGCTTGGGAGCCAGATGGGGCATCCATGGAGGGCCTCACTGCTCCTCCTCGCCTCAACAAACTTCCCTGTTCCCCACAGTCCAGCTCCATCTGCTTCCTCCAGGGAGTCTTCCTGGTTGCTCCAGTTCCCCCTGACCTCCCATCACCCTGAGTCATCTCCATTCTTGCCCAGCTCTCTCTCTTAAGCCAACCTCTGACTATCTCAAACCTGCTGAATCTGGTTTTCCCAACTAGACTGGGAACCCGGGGCCAGTCTGAGGTCTCCTCCTCCCATTGCTCCCCAGTGGCTCACAGGACTAGATACAAGGAGAGCTTAGAAACGACCTATTGAACAAATGGAAGGTCAAGACAAAGGACTCTGGAATCCAACTGTCTGGGTTCAAATACCACCTCTGCTGCTTGTGAGTGGTGGGCTTGGGCAAGTTACTGAATGTTTCTACAAAGGGTTGTTGTGGGGATTAAATGTGATAATGTGTGAACCATACAGCTTGGCCTCTAGCCCTAGAAGACATAGGATAAGTGGAGCTACCACTGTAGTATCAGCCAGCGTTGTTAATTGCATTGAAACGGTCTGACAGAGTGCCTGATGCTGTGTGCAGGTGGGTATGTCACCAGAGCTCTGGTGTGCGACGCTGGTGACCTGCAACCTATGCCAGCTGTGCACTGTGACCTGGGGCAAATCATTTCCCTTTTGTGGAACAAGGGGGCCTGGACAGATGACCTCTGTGACCCCTTCCTGCTCTGATCTCCATATGTGGTGTGGGTGTTGAGAGTTTGTGAGTTGATCCCTGATCTGGGGCCCTGGTGGTGCATGTTCAGTAGAGGCTCTGCCCCCGTTTCTGGCCTGGCTTTCCAGCTGGAGACCTCCTTTCCCTGCCCTCCCCTCTTGCTCCATCCCTTCCTGCCCAACCCTGCATCCCCAGGAGGGTACCAGTGCTCCACTGCTGAGCAGGATCATGAAGATGATGAACGTCTCGAACCAGCTGTGCTCCACGATGCGGTAGCAGGTCTTGCGCAGCCGCCACCAGACCTTCCCTGGGGCCTGTGTGGTGTTCACTGCGCAGCAGGGACAGCGCCGGACACAGCCTATGGGGGAGGGTGAGGGGTGAGGCCCAGACCAGGGCCTGTGAATGCCCATGTCTTAGGGCAGAAGGTTGGATGGTTGAAGGAATGACTGAGAGGAAGAGGTTACACTGATGGAGTAATGAACAGGGCAATGTGGTGGGTGGGGCCATGGCGGGGGTGGGGGCTGAGGAAGACTGCGGGTGCATCCGCAAGGGTCCACATTCAGCAGGTACTCTGTGGAGAGGCCGGATGGACTAGGCACCCAGAGAGTGGGTGAGGGGCTTGGCAGGTCTGAGCAGGGGCAAGGCTGGACTTGGGATGGGCTCCAGTCTGTCCTCTGCTCACCTGGGAAACCCTACCCCCCAGGGGAATGTTCCAGCTGCCCTCCGAATATACCACCAATTCATAAAAGCTATAGATGCCAATCACCAACATGGCCACATGTCACACCCATGAGTATTTACAGAGGGCCTACTATATGCCAGGCACCATGCCAGGGCCTGGGGGGACCGGGGTGAATACAATGCAGTCCCTGATGCTGTGGGGGCATAGAGTTGTGCCACCACCCCACAAATGCAGTGTCACCAGTCAGTCCTTAGTGCAGCTGACCCACAGCTGCCTAGCCCAGCACACCGTGAGCAGACTCGCATGACTCAGGGCACGGGCAGATGGAGGGGCTTCCAGGGTGATGAGGAATGGAGGAGAGGGGCAGACATCCGGGTCAGGGTAGGGTTCCCTGGGCCCCGAGGACCTGCTGGTCCTCCTGCTCCTCTGGGAGGGGCTGAGGCTGGGCCAAGGGCCACCCAGGGCAGTACCTTCGGTGAAGCAGTCCTCCGGATCCTTGTTGTCCTCACCGAGGTCGGGGATCTGCTCCATGAGGTCAGCAGTGTTGGTCATGTCTGCTGTGCTCCCCTCAGAGTAGCTGTCCTCGTGGGTCTGTGGGCAGGGTGGGTGAAGGCGTGAGTGTGGGCTGTGTAGCCTTCAGCCTCGAGCCCAGAGTCCTGGGAAGCCTGGGGCTCCCTGAGGGGAAGTGCCCAGACTATCCTCCATTGCACACCCTGGGGGTCTGAGCCTGGGGGATGGGTGGGAACCTGCCATGGAGCCCACCTAGGGCCAGTCAGGGCTGAGATGAGGCTGGACCTCAGGGCTCTTGGGTCTGTAGTTCTGGTCTGCTGGAGTCTAGGGCAGGGGTGCAGGGGCTGTGATGGGGTTCTGGGAAAACACTGGGGATGGGGACTGCATCTAGCTGGAAACAAAACAGACATGGGGCGGCAACATGGACACACACTGGGACATGGACACACATGGTAGTTTTGCACATGCAGAGGAAACAGGCATGCTACACCCAGAACAGTCAGAACCAGGATCACAGGCACACATAGAACAGGCCAGTGACCCAGCCCACGTTTCTTGCCCAATTCATATGGGTGCTGACGTGATGCGCAAGGGTCAGGAGTAAGAGTGAGAAGGTCCCGGAAACTTCCCTACCTGGCCACGCAGGGTGCTGCTGCCCTGACCTCGCAGACGTGATTATAGAGAGGCATGTGCATGCGGCGTGCCCTTGTGAGTGTCACGTGTGGGGCCAGTGTTGAGGGTGCTATAGTGGCCACTGCCAGTGCTCTGCCCAGTTCCCCTCTATTAGGCCAGGGCACCTGTTCCTAGCCGCTGTGAACACTGGCTGCTTAGCCAGCCCCTTCTCCAGAAAATTATCTTCAGCCAGGAAGCTGCCATTCTGGAAATGGCTTGGAGGTTACAAGCCAAGGCAGGGGTGGCTGACACCCAGTGATGCACTGATATGGGAACACAAAAGGCCAGCCCCTGCCTTGGGCTGGGACAATGCCGTGGTCAGTTCATGCTCCAGAGCTCCCCACTGGACCAGAACCCGGCTGCCACGCCTGGAGGAGCCTCTTCCTCTGCCTTATCCTGCTCCTCTCACTTCCTTATCGGTTTCTCCAGAGAGCAATCCCTTAATAAATCATTTGCCCAAGGAGCCCGTCTCTGGCTCGGCTTCCAGGAATCCACCCTAAGGACAGGGGTGGCAGGGGGTTCTCTGAAGGAAGGGAAGCCTTCATTGGCTTCAGATCACATCTAAATCCCCCAGCTCAGTCGGCCCGCCTCATGCCGCTCAGGCTCTGGCTCCACTTAGAGACGGCTGGTTTGAGCATCATGCCTCTGCTCCTAAACCTGCCTTCTTTTCTCTTCCTTCCGTGACTCACTCAGCCCGTGTCGCAGGTCCTCTTTAACTTTGAGATTTGCGATGGGGAAAGGCTAGATCCCGGTAGGAAAGTAGAGAGGGCTCCTCCGTGCAGGGTGGAGCCGTGGCCTGAGGGATGAGGCTCTGCATTTTGTGGTGCCCCGTGCCTTTGAGGGTCCCTCCCTTCTCCTTCCAGCTTCGTTGTGAGGCACTGAGCTGGGAAAGGCACAAGCTGGAGGAGGTCTTCATGCTGCTTTTCTTTTCAGACACTGGAGCTGTCTAAGGTACTCAGGGATGTCACGTTCTCAGGATCCCACTGCAGGAGAGATGAAGTGTCCTTCTCCTAGGAAAGGGCCACCCACCTTGCTTTCCCTTCTATAGGTCCCACTGTGAACTGATCTGAAGAGAGGAACGAGTTTCAACATTCCAGTATGATAGCCCCTTCTTTCCTTGACTTTCTGCCCCTCTCATGTCTTCCTGTTCCCACATGCCTTTATGTGTCAGATCCTCCAGGGGTAGAAGTGTGACCTGCACAGTCAGTATGATGATCCCACTGGTCCCTGCTGCAAAGCTGGCCATGACTGCAAAGCCTTCTATGAGCCCATCCCATGAAAGGGACAAGGCAAAGGAGAAATGTTTTGTTGGAGCAAGTCACAACTACTGGACTGAGGGCTAAGGTCAGGCTGCAGGGCAATGGCACCCCAGCACTGTCTCTGAACACATGCACTCCACCTTCCATGGTGCTTGGTGTGAGCTGGGATGGGGGTGTGGGGTGGGGGTGTAGTCAGCAGTGCCATAATCCCTTAGCTTGGGGGTTGCAAACTTACGGGCCAGGCAGGTAATGGAATGAAGTCAGGTAGGTGGGGTCAGTGGCAAACCAGCCAGCTCCAGCCGGTGTCAAGGGGGCGGTTACCACTGGTCTCCAGCAGGGCTGCCCCTCTACTTTCTTTTCAACAGAAGCCAGAATTCAGATTTTTTTTTTAATTTATTTTTTCCCCCAAAGCCCCAGTAGGTAGTTGTATGTCATAGCTGCACATCCTTCTAGTTGCTGTATGTGGGACATGGCCTCAGCATGGCCGGAGAAGCAGTGCGTCGGTGTGCGCCCGGGATCCGAACCCTGGGCCGCCAGCAGCGGAGCGCGTGCACTTAACCGCTAAGCCACGGGGCCGGCCGGAGAATGCAGATTTTTTACATAAAATCTCCTGGGTTTTAAATGTTGGTAGCTAACTCAAATTAAAATCCTTTTGCGGCTGGAACAAAACCCTCTAGTAGGCTTCCCATTCGCTGCCTCTGCTTTAGTCCAGGTGAGAAGCAGCTGGTGGCCAATGTGCCAAGAACTTGTTCTTAAAGACCTCAAAGCCCCCTGAGATGGGGCCCTTCACAGGACAAACATTTGCCAAATAGGACCGAAGCACAGGAGCCTAATGACGAGAGGTGAACACACGGAGATGTCAGGTTAGTCCTGCATCGGGGTCCTGGGCTGGCTGCTTCCAGAATCTCCCTGTGGCTCTGGGCCCCAGCCACCCCTCCCCCGTCAGGCGAGGGCTGCCCACGCTCCCCTCTGCAGACCGGTCTCCCACATGCCCGTGACAGCGGCTGTGATCCCACCAGCAAATGCAGGCGTGTGCCCGGGACCTCTCCTGGCCTGGCTCCAGCCCAAGCAGCAGTGCCCGCCGGCTTCAGGGACAAAGGTGTGCGTTACCTCACTGCACCCTGGGGCCGGGGGCTCCGCTTGCCGCTGCTGCCGCCTTTCTGCCAGAGCAGCACTGGCCTTACAGGCCCCGGAGGAGGTGGTCTCTGACACCTGGCTCCAGGCCCTGGGCTCTGGGAGGGCCTCTGGGCCGCCGGACGCAGGCTGGGATTCCTGCTGAAGAGAACCCCAGCCTGTGAGCTACCTGGCCAAAGCGTTTCCAGGGCCCTGGTTCTGCTTCAGGCCCTGCCCATGCACTGGGGCATTGCCTCCTGCCCTCTCCATGGGGCCTCATCTCACTGATGACCCCTCCCTCGGGGGCCCTGAGTAGGTGGATGGGAGGCTCCTGGTAGGTCCAGGCAAAGGACCTATAGCCAGACAAAGCTTCTGGCCAGCCTGGCATAAATCTCCCCCTCCTCCCACTCCCTGGAAGAGTGCAGCTAGGCCGTGATGCACAGCTCCCAGTGCTGGCAACTCCACTTAGGAAGGACATGCTGACGTCCCCCATGAGTTCCCATAGCACCCCCAGCTTGCGCGTGTGTGCTGGCATGTGCACATATACACGCACGCACACACACGTGCGCACGCACACACACGCACGCCCCAGGGAGCCAGAATCAACAAGCTCAAGAGAAGGAAAGGAGAAGGAAAAGGAGGGGCAGCCGGAATCCACTCCTGTGCTGGGTGCATCCTGAGATAATTGGAAGCCGTGGTCCTGGCAACACCAACACTCCCCCTCCCCCAACTCACACTGTCACTGTCCCCCAGCCTGACTAAAAGGGCCGAAGCTGGCCTCTGGGACCACAGGGAGGCAGGAGGATGTGGAACCAAACCTGGAGCCTCAGATCAAATTCCATGCATGGGGAGCAGCTGCTCTTCATGGCCAGACTCACTCAGGGCAGGCCCAGAGGAGGCGGCCAGGATGGGCCCAACTCAACAGAGAGAACCAGTCCTCACTGTTTGCCTAAAGACCTAAGGAGAAGCCATTCGAGCCTGGCTCAGGCCACGGGAAAACTGAGGGAGCAGGGTGGAGGTGTGGGGGGCAAGGTCTCTTTTGTCCAGACTCTGGTTCTAAGCGTTAAAAATAACAGGTTGGGAGATAAGATAGTGCTGTCTCTGACACTTGCCATCTTAGGAATGCTTATTTTTAAATCTCAGAATTAGTGCTGGGCCTGGGAGGAGGGGAAGGGGCAGTCGGGAGGTCAGGAGACTGCACTCCTCCCTCACCAAGACATTCCACCTTGGTAGTGCTGGAGGGGACAACGGTCAGAGTGGGGACTGTGGGCCAGGGGTCCGGTTCTGCCCTAGGTGCACGAGGAACTCCTAGCAAGTCTCTGTCTCTTGTCATGCCTCCTTTCTGTACAAATAGTTGCCCACGACTAGTCAGGGGATGAATGACGGACAACAGCCCCTCCCAAGATCCCCTCCTGGGCTGGGTTCAGGAGAAATGGTTGAGAGCTCATCTCAGCACCCTTCTATGAGGCCAGCTTTTGGGGGATGGCCTGTCCTCTACCACCACCTCACCTCTGCTGTGGCAGTCTGGCAGAGACATCTGCTCTGAGCAAGGCCGGGTCCCTGGACAGCAGAGCCTGGGCCCTGTACAAGCAGGGCCTGCATACACGTGGGGGTGGGGGCCTCACCTGCTTGCTGGACTCTTCCTCTGTGCCCAGGCTATTCTCCTCATCCTCCTCTTGGTCATCTGTGTCTGACTCAGCCACAGCAATGGGCACACACACGGGCTCTGGATCCCCAGGGGTGCCCTGGCCTGGCCGCTCGCCTTCCTCAAACCGCGTCTCCTTGCGGGCTGGAGGCGCCTTCTCTGTGTCTGGCGGTGGTGGGGAGCCTGAGGTGGCAATGCAGCTGGGCAGCTGGTCGCGGCTGGCAAGGGCTGCAGGCTTCTGAGGCCGCTGCTGCAGGAGTCCACAGCAGAAGTCCCAGGTGGTCCGCTTGACGAAGCGCAGGCCCCGCTGGATGCGGGCCAGGGCCAGCTGGAGGTTGTTCATCTCCCCGTCCTCCTCAGGGGCGGTGAGGTTGTCTGCACTGAAGGAGCTGAGCAGCAAAGCCAGGAAGAGGTTCAGGACCTGTGGAGGCAACGGATCGGGCTCACCAAGGCAGGCATCATGCCATGGCATTCAGCCTTGGGTCCATGATGGGGAAACTGAGGCCTAGGGACCTTAAGGACTGCTAAAGGCAAATAGCTCTAGGCTCGAACTCTGGGCCCTGGCTCCTCATCCTAACTCTGCATTCTCTTGAATATAGAGAGTTTGGCTATAAAAGGAAAGACAAATTCTTATCCCTCCTCTCAAGGGCTCAGATACAGTCTGAGTTGAGGGTGGTCAGAACCAGGTCTCTTGTGTCTTGGCCCAGGTTCAGTGAGAGAACAGTGGGTTCATCCAGTGTCAAAGCCCACAGATGGGGCTTTGCTGCCTTGAGAGTAATGGGGGGCAGTGGGGTCAGGATGAGCACAGGGCTGCTCCCTGAGAAGTGGGATCCAATCTGGGATCACCAGGGACAAGACAGAATCCCACCCAGAAGCAACCCAGAGCTCTTGGGGCTTTCCTGGGAAAGGACCTCTGCATCTGTTGGTGAAGGAGGGGTAGTGATGGGCTTCTGAGCTCCCCACTGAAGCTGGCTCACCACTCGAAAATCTGCAGCTCCTGTTGTGGAGCACACTCTACCTGTGTCCCCAGATCTGACTATGCTTTCCAGGTGAGGGACAAGAGGGACTGAGCAGAGAAGGGGGCAATGGCAGAAAAAGAGGCCAAGTGGCATGTGGGACTAACCGCAGGGTCAGGCCACGGAGAGGTGGCTGTGTCTAGATGGGGAGGGGTGCTTGGATGGGTGCTGTGTGCAGGACCAGACAAGTGGGATGGAGTGGAGGGACCTGGGGCTGGAACCAGGGCTGGCCCATTATGCTCCAGGGAGTCGGGAGAGGGGCTGAGGTTTCAGAGGTGCCAGAAGGCACAGGACTTTACCTAAGTTATTCATCAGGGGTTAGGGACTTGAGACTCTTTAAGGGGGGGGGTTGCATAATTCTTCTGTCTTTGGATGGTTCTGGACTACCACTTGTTAAACCATCCGCAAGTGTGAAGTTTTAGCTTTTGTTAAAAAAGAGAAATTTTGCTGAGAGGCAAGGGGCTGGGCTCAGGTCCATCTCCCAGGCTCGTGGAGGGAAATGAAGATGGCCGTGGGCTTGTTCCCACACATGGGTCAGACGGATTCATGAGCATCACCAGGCTGACAGGACAAGTACACAACCTCCTACCTTGGGCTTGGTGTCTCCTCCTCCCACCCACCCCCAGAAGGGAGTTCAGTTGAATGGGGGCCCCTATGGCAGGGTGGTGTGTGAAATGGGTGCACAGTTCTCATTGGAAACCCACTCTGAGCCCCTGCCCTGGCTTCTCACAAGCCCCTAAAACACACCTGTCAGAAAGCTGGGAATGAGAATTCTGATGAAAGCAGTGGGTAAGATTGGAGCACCAGGCCTCAGACACACGCCTTTGACTTGAAAAGCAATGCACATTCACGTGGACAGTATGGACAGGTTAAGAAGTAGGATCTCCCATACTATCTCTATAGAGAGAGGGTAACTTGTGACACCTGGCAGCCTTTTTTATGTTGTCACTGGGGGCTGGGGCATGTGATGTGATTCAGAGCTGCTGTCTACACTGCCCTCTGGTCTGGCCCCTGGCCTCTGTCCAGACTGGCCCAGGCCTGGCCTGCCTCTGTTCCTGGTTGCCCACCCTGGGTCCTCCTCCACAAACCTCATCATGCCTGGCCCCACATCCCCTGACCTCCAGGCATCTGGGGCCCAGATTAGGGGCAGGGCAGGGGGCCGCCTGGGCAGGCTTGTCCACCCACACAGGACCTAGGGCCTCCCTTGTCTCTGGCTTCAGAAGATCGGCTTCTTCTAGTACTTTCCCCGTCAATCATTTTGCTGCTCCCCAGCCCCTGCCTGATCATCACCTCCCATTTCAATGGCAATCTTGCTTCCGCCCACGCCCGGCTGCGGCCCAATTCCTGAGGCGGCCAGGGAGGGGGCTGCGTGGGCTGCATTAGCTTCCCTCCTGCAGCAGCCTCTAATCTTCTCATCCCCAGGCAGATCCACTGGGAAATCGCAGGGCTGCGCGTGTGAGGGCAGCTCAGCCTGGCCCTGGGCTGAGAGCTTAGTGTAGTCACATCCTCCTTGTAACACAGAGTCTGGCAGCCCCAGGCTGGGCCAGGGGCTGAGTGAGGCTCCACCCCCAAGGGGCGGCCAGTTTGAGGGATGGAAGCGGGTAGTGGGGCCAGCCAAAGACCTGGGTTCCATTGAAACTGTGCACTTATGCCCTGCTTCCTCTCTGGGCGCCACCTGTGGGGCCTGAGGGAGACTAACTCCAACTCGCCCCGGCCTGGTTAAGGCCCGTGGGAGGAGAAGGCAGGCAGGTTTGAGGAAGGGCTCTGGAATCTGCAGCCCACAGTACTGGACCACCTAAAACCCCTCTAGGAGCTGATGTGAGCTGATGTGAGCCACACCAGCAGGAGCCAGACCATGCAGGCATGATGTCTGAGCATGTGTGGGCCACCTGCGTACCCAGGAAGGTGGCTCCATGTCCACGGTAGACACTGACTTCTTCCTGGACCACTAACTTGCCTCAACCTTGCCTCTTCCGAAGGCCCCTTCTCTGGCAGTTAGATTTTGATCTCTCTCAACTCTGGAATTCCCCACATTGTAAGGACACAGGGCAAGATGCACCTGTGCTAGGACAGACAGGTGGCCATGGGAGCAAAGGCTCGGGCCCCTCCTGACAGGACAGCAGGGAATCCCACCACAGCTACCCAGGGTGACATACAATGCTCTCCCGGGCCCTGCCTCACCCGCACCACCACCTACCTGCACCTGTGCTTTGCTCACCCTACTCCTTCCCTCTCTAGCATCACCTGCCAATCAAGTCAGCTCCAAACCCTCCTCTAGGAAGCCTTCCTTGATTTCCACAGTTGGAGGGGATTAGCACCCCTGGGCTCCCCCTTAATGGCTCTGATCATTCTGACCAGCTTGAGAGTTATTTCACGCCTGTTTGAACTCCCTACCTCTCCACTCTCTCAAGCTGGTGAGCAATGTCAGGGCCACATTCACCTCCAACAACATGTATGTATGCCCAACAACATCTGGAACATATTTTGCATGCAACAGGAGCTCAGTAAATGTTTGTTAAGCTGAATTAACAAACCATGTGATAAATCACTGATGATGAATGACTAACAAAATAATGGGTAGATGAGTAAATAAATAAATAATTGAATATAAAATGAGTAAATAATGAGTAAACAGATAAATTAGTGTGTAAATGAATAAATGAACAAGAGTGATGTGAATGGATGGAGGGGTCAATGAGTAAGTAGATAGGTGAATGGATAGGTGAGTAGATGAATGGTGAATGAGTGAATGGATGAGTGGGTTGATAGATGGATGCAGGGGTGGATGAATGAGTGGAGGAATAGATGAGTGAGTGGAAAGATGGGTAATGGATAAATGCATGGATGGATGGGTGGGCAAGTGAATGGATGGGTAGATAGATGGATGGGCAAATGGACGGATGAATAGGTGTGTGTGTACAGGTGTGTGGAATGAATGGAGGGTGATGGATGGGTGGCTGGTGGACAGATGAATGGATGGGTGATAAATGAATGGATGGATGGGTAAGTGATTGGGTAGACAGGGGTTGATGAATGGATGGATGGGTAAGTGAGTGGATAAATCCATAGAGAGATGGACAGATGGATGGTTGAGTTGGTGGGTAGGTGATTGATGAGTAGATGGATGGCTGGATAGAAAGATGTATGGATGAGTATAGAGACGGAAGAATGAATGGGTAAGTGAATAGATGATTTGTGATAAGTGCATAGGTGGATGGGTAAGTGGGTGCATAGGTGGGTGAATAAGTGAATGGGTGAGTAGATAGATGGAAGGATGGGTAAATGAGTAGATGGATGGATGGATGCGTAAATAGATGGGTGGGTGAGAGACTGACGGGTGGATGGATGGTTTGATAGATAGATGGCCGAGTGAATGAGTGAATGATGGAAGGAAGGGTAAGTGAATGGATGATTGGGTGGGTGGGTAGCTGAGTGGATGAATGGATGGGTAGGTGAGTGTGTGTGTGAGGCCACTGGCCAACTTACCACAAGGTTGCCAATGACCATAACAAGCAAGAAAACTAGCAGGCACAGTGACTGCCCAGACACCTCCATGCAGTCCCACATAGTCTCAATCCACTCGCCACAGAGGATGCGGAAGATGATGAGAAAGGCATGGAAGAAGTCCATCATGTGCCAGCGGGGCAGCAGGCCTGAGTCGCTGATGCGGTGCCTCAGTTCTGAGTAGTTCTTGCCAAAGAGCTGCATGCCCACCACAGCGAAGATGAACACGATGATGGCAAGCACCAGAGTCAGGTTCCCCAGGGCCCCCACTGAGTTCCCGATGATCTTGATGAGTGTGTTCAGGGTGGGCCATGATTTGGCCAGCTTGAAGACCCGCAGCTGGGGAGGGAGGAGTCCTTGTGAGGAGCTCTGGAATCCGCTGCCCATGGACACCCTCACCCCCATAGCTCTTGCCTGAAAACCCAGGGAGCCCCTGGAAGTCACTGACACCTGTTTCTCCCTGTTTCTCCAAGAGCACACAGTACTGTTTCTCTCCACAGCCTGATGGTGGCTTTATTGGGCTCTGCTCTGGGAGTCAGGTCAACAGCTCCAGCCTCATCTCCCCAGCTCAGCCCTTCTCTCTGTCCCCACACCAGCCTTCTACTCCCCTTGGTCTCACTTCCAGGAACTTCCCAGTAGATTCTCCCAACATGGAATGTCCTTCCCCTTCGAGACTCATCCTCATCAGATATCCTTCCAGGCTGGCTCAAACCATCTCTGACTTGCTCAATTGCCTCCACCTTTCTCTCCTCTCAGTTATCACAGAGAAAGGGAGCCAGCATTTATTGAACATCCACTGTGCCAGGCCTTGTGCTTAGGATGGATCAACTCATTCAGAACTCCCAATAACCACAAGAGGCTGCCACTATCATTACCTCCTTTGGCAGACGAAGAAGCCAACCTTTAAAGGTGGTGTAACTTGTCTAAGTCTCTTGGCTCATGGCAATGGAGCTGGGATTAGAATCCACAGCCTGGGCTTTCTCTACTGCCCCCACCATCCTCCCTTCCTAGTCCCCAGTAAAGCCACCAACAGTGCTTAGACCTCCTCTAGGAAGCCTTCCCTGCCTATCTCCAGCCCCCTGTCTGGACCTCCCAGACATTTTGAGCTTAAGGCATGGGCCACAGACCAGAGCTTTGGCATCACCTGAGACCTACTGAATCGGCATCTGCAGTTTAACAAGATGCCCAGGAGATTTGTGTGTGCATTAAAGTTTCCAAAATGCTGATTCCAAAACCAGCAGGCAGAGCCCAGAGGAGCTGCCAGCCGACCTGGCTCCACCTGTGACGTGCCATGTGGCATTGGAAAATTGTTTCACCTCTCTGAGTCTTAGTCTCCTCATCTGTGAAATGGGGATGTGGTAATACCAGTCCCACTCCTGGGATCCTAGGACGACTGAAGGGGCCATGGTGAACCATAAGGGCATTTGCAAATCATCAGAATGGCCACCCCAACTGCTCTTCTGAGGGATGTCTCTTTTGGTCTAGCCCACCTCTGCACCCCCCATATCACCACCCCTGGGCCTGGCACCCAGGGGTACCTAGCAAATAGCAGCTGGGTGAAGGCATGATGGATCAGAGTTGGGGTGACTGAGTGGTGACCTCGGAGGGGGTGTGCTTGGTGCCCCGGGCCCCCCCGACCCCCGCAGTGGGCCCAGCTGGGTACCAGGCGGAAGGAACGCAGCACCGACAGGTTGCCCATGCGGGACAGGCCCAGCTCCATGAGGCTGAGGATGACGATGATGCTGTCGAATATGTTCCAGCCCTGCTGGAAGTAGTAGTAGGGGTCGAGAGCGATGATCTTGAAGGTCATCTCTGCTGTGAAGATCCCTGTGAAGACCTGAGGAGGGAGCGGGAATCAGGGGTTCCTGGCGTTTGAGCTGCAAAGACCCTCTGGCCAGCAGGGGCATCCTGCCTCCTTACTCTTGCTCTGGCAGGGTCCCCCTCCTGAGCCGACAGCTTTGACTACACCCAGGCTCCCAGTGGGTGCTTGCTCAGCCATGGCTCAGCCCCTTGGGGATACCTCTGGCCTGACATCCCCAGCCCTCTCTGCTGCTCACCAAGCATGACCTGCCAGCCTGGCCCTTAGAAACAACTGGACCCATTGTAGGCTCTGCAGAGACTCACAGTCTAGGAGGTACCTGGGGTCAGGGGAGGCTGAGGTGGGAGGTGACACAACCCAGCCCCAGACTCCTTCCTGCCTGTGTCACCACAGGAAGTGCCCCCGCTCCACACGTGCCAAATACACACATTCCCACCAACACCCATGGCTCTCATGGCTCAGGGCCTTTGCCCATGCTGTTCTGTTCCCTACTTGCCCACATGCTGAACTCTTCTCCCATGTTTCTTGAGGGCCTGACTATGTGTTAAGAGCTGGGCTAGAATGCTTTGCATATGTCTAACAACCAGATAAGAAAAGTATCATTTACCCCATTTTATGGGTAAGGAAACTGAGGCACAGAGAAGTTAAGTAATTTGCCTGGGGTCAAGTAGCTAGTAAATTTGAGAACCAAGAGATAACCTCAGTGCTGTCCTTCAAGATTCAGAGCAACTACCTCTCCCTTCTGGAGTCATTCCTGAGGTAGGCAGAGGCCGGGCTTCACCTGGTTCATTGATTTGAGTCCTGAGCTGCCCAGCCTCGGCTAACAGAGCCAAGGTCAAGGAGCCCATGTGTGGGGCTGGGCAGCCGTGACCACGGCCAACTGCTCCGGGTTGTGCCAACTGCTCTGACGGGAGCATGGTTCTGGGAGGAGGGGCTAGCCCGTGAAGGGCTGGCTGGCCGGAAGCTGGGGCCTGTATACGAGGCCTTCCTGGAGCTGGGGGTTATCCTGAGGGCAGTGAGGAAGCACTGGGGTCTTTTGCAGGGGAGGCCTGAGGTCAGAGGGCCAGGCTCCCACTGGGGACAGTGCCTGGCCTGCAGTGGCTGTGGGGGCGGTGAAGGTCAGAAACAGTGGCATGGTGACATGGCTGAGACATCCCACTGGGGTCAGCAATTAGGAGGGGGGTCACCCTCTCCCCGGCACCCACCCTGAGAGGACTCTGCTGAAAGGACAGAGGCGAGCCATCTGCATCTGTCAGTTGCTGCAGCACCAGCCCTTCCCCGCTCTGCTCAGATGAAGCCCTGTGGGGGCGGGCTAAGGTGCAGGGGATTGCTGTTGGCCCCCGGGGAGGGGGGTAAGGAGGGGTGGCACCAGGATGGCAGGTGGGGGCACCTCTGCACTGCCATCCCAAGCACCAACCACCAGCCCAGCTGTCATGACTTCAGTGGTCCCTTTAGTGCTCGTGCCCAGAGGGAACTTCCTCTACCAGCTGGGGTCGTGGGGAAGGGAGGGACCTGAAATCCTCCAGCCTCAGCTCAAATTCCTCCCCTCACATGCGGAGAGGCATCCTGGGGTTCTGCCCCTTTCCCCAGCACCCAGGCCTGTTTCTGGGTTATGCACCCATGACTTTTCCACCCTCTGACCCCATCTCCTACTACTCTTCCAGCCATGCTTGCCTCCTTGCTGTTCCCGCCTCAGGGCCTTGATACTTGCTGCTCCCCAGCCACAGGACTCACTCCCTTCAGGTCTCTGCTTAAAAGCCACCTAATGGATGAAGTTTCCTGACACTTAAACTGGTGGCCCCTCCCACCAGACTCTTTATCTTTCTTCCTTGCTTTATTTTTCTTTCTCTCACATACCACCACCTGACATATTATCTGCGTAGTTGTGTATTTGTTTGTAGTCTCCTCCCTAGACTGGAAGCTCCACAATAGGAGAGACCTTTCCTGTCTTACAGTACCCAGAACAGCGTCCAGCCAGGGGGCGGTCCACCAATATCTGCTGAATAAACATACAAATGGTTTGGCCTCTGGCTCTCAGCGCCCAGCGTCCTGCAGCGCCCAGCTCCACTTCCCTGTCTTCCAGGAGGCCTTCCCTACCCAGCCAGAGCCCTCCCCCAGCCGCACTCCCTGCACTGGGCTTCCCTGAGGGCCCCTAAGGGTGGGGCCTGGGTCACGCCCTCCTTTGACCCCAGCCCTCTGGTCTCCCCTGGCACCTGCCTGAGCATGTCAGGGCGAATGTGTTCTTAAGGCCTGTTTGACAGAGCTACGAGTGCTAATACTCATTTCTGGGGAAAGGAGCTCAGGAAAGACCCCCTGCCTCACTTTGTCCAGGTTTGCAGATGGTGCTGGGAGTCAGGAAGACAAAGACAGCAGAGGCTCTTGGGGAAGGCCTTTGGGGAAGCAGTAAGCAAAAGAAGCAACAGCATCACGTAGAAGCTCTTTAGAAATGCAGAATCTCAAAGACCTCAGACCTGCTGAATCAGAATCTGCATGTTGACTAGATTCCCAGGTGATCTGAAGCTTGAGAAGTACGATTTTCGAGCACTGGTTCTCAAACTTGGTGCACTTTGGAATCACCTAAGGAGCTTTAAAAATACAGATGCCTGGAGTGCCCAAGTATTGAGAGTTTTAAAACACTTCCCAGGTGATTCTAATATGCAGCTAAGCTTGAGAACCACTGCTTTAGAAGCATATGAATTTTCGGGCGACTCCTCCTTTCCTAGGATCACCCCTGGCTCTCTAAGGCCTCGTGAGCAAAGCTGGATGGTTTAAGATGTGCAGAGCCTTGAGTGTCCTCATATGTAAAATGGGGATAATAATAACTCCATAGGAGCTTTCTAAGATTTAGAGCTAATGGATGTAAAGTGGATGCTCCATATGAGAGGGTGATTATTGCCATCATCAGCAGCATTTACTATGACTGCTGACAGCGGCCGAGAGCTCCAGGCCCAGGCAGGGGCTGCCTTCAAACATAAACAACTCTGTGTTTTACAGGCTTACTAGGATCTGGCAGACAGAGGCCGTGAACACGGGGACCCACTTCCCCTGACTCCTGGCAGGAGGTCCACTGAGTCATCAGGCCTAATGATGGCTTCCCAGGAAGTGGGGGGTCTTTTGGGGAACCCCAAACTCTCCTGACCTTGGCATATGTTTTTAATGGGATCATATTGTACATATTGTAAACTTGCTTTTAAAACATAATACCTTGTGAACATCCTTCCATGCCAATTAAACATGAGCTACAGCATCATTTTCTCTCTCTTTTTTTTAATACTTGTGGGATATTCCACTGTACAGATGTGCCATAAGGTTCCATTTCCCCGTGATGGGCATTTTTTTGTCCCTATTAAAAACATTGCCATAATAAATATCCTTTCACATACATGTTTTAAAACAACTTGCCCAATTCTTTTCTTAGGATAAATTTCTGGAAATGGAATTGCATAGTCAATGAGCATTTTTAGAGATTCTGACACATACTGCTACGTGATCCTCAGAGAGAGGTTTTAACCAGCTCCATGAGCCGCATGTGAGTAATTGTTCCCCTACAACCATGCAGACTGGGCATTCCAGTCCCACTACACTTTCCAATCTGACAGGACAAGGGCCACATTTTATTGTTGTTTTATTGGACATTTCTTTGATTTTTGTATTTCTTCTTTTGTGAAATTGCCTGTTGATATCTTTTGCTTATTTTTCTATTAGAGTGTTTGCCTTTTTTTGTGTGTTGTTTATAAATACATTTTATATATTAAGGCTATTATCCCTTTATCTATTCTATGTATTGCAATGAGTTTCCTGGTTTGTCATTATATTTTTAAAAATGACAAAATATTTTAAGCGTATAGAATAATATAATGAGTACCTTTGTACCACCAAACTCCGCCAAATATTAACATTTTGCCACATTTTTTCAAATCTTGTTTTATTCTTCCTCACAAAATAATAGCAGAGACTTAAAGAGCATTTACCACATGCCAGGCACTGTTCTAGTGCTTTATAGATATTAAATCATTTAATCCTCACAATAACCCTAGGAGGTATGTATTGTTGTTATCCTCATTTACAGATAGGAACACTGAGATACAGGGAGGTTAAACCACTGGCCCATATGGTAGAGCCTGGCGGTGAACCTAAGCATTTGGCTTCCACCATGAAGTCTTAACCACCTTGTGCTGTCACAGGTAAAACTGAAGATACCCATGGTACTACATTCACTCCAAGGTAATTACTATCCTGAATTTGATATTTATCATTCCCATGCATGTTTTTACAGTTTTCATGTATATGAACAATATATAGTATTTTTGCATTGTTTAAGGTTTATATAAATGGGCCATGCTGTATGTATTCCTTTTTGCAAGTTCTTTTTATCTTAACATCATATTTTTGAGATTTATCCATTTTGATGTGTACGTATTATTCTAACTGTGTACAGTATTTCATTGTATGAATGCACCACAGTTTATTTACCCATTTCTTTAATGGGTGGATGGACATTTACGTTGATTCCAATTTTTCCTGTGACTAACAGTGTTGCAAAGAACTTTCTTGTACATATCTCCTGTACAGACATGTGAGACTTTCTTAAGAATACATATCTCTGAAATTGCTAAGTTACAGGTTATGCACATCTCTGATTTACCAGATATTCTACAATTGCTCCCCAAAATGGTCATACCAAATCCATACTCTTAACAAAGTGTGAGTTCCCACTGTTTCACATCCTTGCCAACACAGAGAGGTTTATTTTTTATTCTCTTAAGAGTGAGAAATAGTATCTCAATGTTGCTTTAATTTGCATTCCTTTGTTTCTTTTCATTTGTTTATAACCATCTAAATTTCCTCATCTGTGATTTTCTTGTCATTTCCTTTGTCCATTGTTGTGGTTGTGTTTTTGCCACCGGGTTGTCCTTCTTTTCCTGATTGATGTGTAAATGCCCAATATATATTCTGGATTCCGATACTTCTCATAACATCAATTTCCAGTTTGTGGTAGTGATTTACTTTGTTTATCG